GGAACCCCACCGGGGGCACCATCCCCTGGGCCTGATACGCCGAGCGAATCGCCCGGGACACCCAGTGGGCCAGCCGCTGGGAGGATAACGGGGCGCCTCTGTTTTTAGGCCCCAAGCACACGAACAGCTGATCCGTGCGCCTAAAAGAGGACGTGACCTCCAGATAATGCCTCAGCATCCTGATAGGGCACAACAGGTGTCTTTGCTCATCCTCCTGCGAGGCGTGAGGCGGAGGGTGAAAAGGTCTGATCCGTATGACCCTGGACCTGAAGGTTGAGGAAACGACCTTGGGGAGAAAGGCCGGGTTGGGCCACAACTCCACCAACCCATCCCCCGGACCAAAGGACAGGCAGGCCGGGCTGATGGAAAGAGCGCATAGTTCTCCCGCCCTCTTGGTTGATACCAGAGCCAATAAGAGTGCGGTCTTGAAGGCCACGCATTCTGGGCTGGCACGGGTCAGGGGTTCGAAAGGAGGCCCTGACAGCCCTTTCAAAACCACCTTGAGGTCCCAGATCGGAGGTGTTTGTCTAAGGACCGGCCTCTTCCTGTAGGCCCCCCGAAGGAAGCGTTTGATTAACGGGTGGGAGCGGGCTGAAAACCCCCCGAACCCTTCGTGACCAGAGGCAATGGCCGAAGCGGACACAGCCAAGGTACTAGCGGCCCTGCCCTTATCCAAAAGGTCCTGCAGGAATCCCAGGACGCCCTCTAGAGGGCAAGACCTGGGGTCCCACGAGTGGGCCGCGCACCAGTCTTTGAAAAGCTTCCACCGGCACCCGTAAGCCCTCACGGTGGAAGGTGCCCTCGCCCCTTGGATGGTATCCACCACCGCCCGGGGGAGGCCTAGTCGGACTAGGTTCTGCCTCTCAGCTTCCAAACCCAGAGCCTGTGGCCCAGGACTGGGCGGGAGCGAAGCGTCCCCCCTCCCTGGACCAGGCCCCCTGGCACGTCCGGGAGAGGCCACGGGTCCATCACAGACATGTTGGTCAGGAACGGGAACCAACGGGCCTGTGGTCGGTCTGGGGCGACCAGGATTACCTCCCGCTCTTCCTGCTCGATCCTCCTCAGTAGGATCGGTAGGAGAGACGAGGGGGGGGGAAGGCGTACAACAGGCCCCCTGGCCAAGGCATCCACCCCTAGAGGCGGATTGTCCGTGGGTCTCAGTGCGAACCAGAGCGGGCATTGCGCGTTGTCTGCACTGGCGAACAGGTCGACCACAGGCCGACCAAACCTCTGCCAGACCTCCGCTGCCATCTGCGGGTCGAGGCCCCACTCGTCCTCGAGAGGGCCTCCCCGTGACATTATGTCCGCCCCTGTGTTCCTGTCTCCCGGAACATGACGCGCTCTCAGAGACTGCAGATGCCCTGCAGCCCAGATCAGAATGGTCGCTGCCAGTCGGTGGAGGGCTGGGGACCTCGTGCCCCCCTGCCGGTTCAGATACGCCACCACTGTGGTGTTGTCTGAGCGCACCATCACGTGTCTCCCCGCTAGTTGTGGAGCGAAATGCAGAAGCACCCTGTGAACCGCCTCCATCTCCAGCAGATTGATGTGACGAAGAGGGCCTGACCAGGCGCCCCCCACAGAGCTCTGGTGCAGAACCCCCCCCCATCCCTCTAGAGACGCGTCCGTGAACACCTCCACGTGTGCCACGGCACCTACCAGGGGAACTCCTTCCAGCATCAGACCGGGCGTGAGCCAGTAGCTCAGGTCCTCGGCCACTCCTGGAGGAACAATGAGCCTTCTGCCCCCGTCTCTTGTGGGATGTAGTCGGAGACGGGAGAACCACCTCTGGAAACGTCTCAAGTGAAGGAGACCTAGCCGCACCACTGCATGAGCTGATGCCATCATCCCCAATAGAGACCGTATTCGTCGGGCGGTCACTGTGGGGGAGGTCAGCGCTTCCTGAGCTAGACGCGTGATGCTCGAGCGTCTGTCCTGGGAGAGCGCTGCCCGAAACTCCACCGAGTCTAGCTGTAGACCTAGATAGACTAAGCGCTGTGCGGGTTGCAGATTGCTCTTTTCCCTGTTCACCACAAAGCCTAGGCGCTGCACGTGTGACAGGACCCAGTGCGTGTGAATGGTGGCCTGCTCCAGAGACGGGGCCAGAATCAGCCAGTCGTCTATATATGTCAGGATTCTGATCCCTGCGCGTCTGAGTGGTTCCAGCGCCGCCTCCACGCACTTGGAGAAGGTGCGTGGGGCCAGAGCGTAACCGAAGGGGAGGCGACAGTACTCGTAACACTTCCCTCCCACGGTGAAGCGCAGGAAGCGTCTGTGCTCCGGTACTATGGCAACGTGGAAGTAAGCGTCCGTCAGGTCTATGGTTGACATCCAGTCCCCGGGCCTGACGCACTCTAACAGATGTTTTGTGGAAAGCATCCGAAAGGGCCGTTTGGAAATGCACTGGTTCAGAGTGCGCAGATCCAATATAGGGCGCACCCCCCCTGATTTCTTGGGGACCAGGAAATACGGGGAGTACAGGCCTCTGGAGGCGTCCCGAGGGTCCACCAGGACCGCGGCGCCTCTGCGTAACAGGGAGGCGAGCTCCATTTGGAGCGCCTCTTCTGTCTCCCGATCTGTAGGGCGCACCGCACGAATGCCCTGGAACGGCGGTGGTCTCCGTGCGAACTGCAGAGCGTAGCCCCTGCGCATCGTTTTCTTTAACCAGGGGTCTGACAGTAGACCGAGCTCTTCCCAGACCCGAAACTGCTCTGTGAGGGGAAGGAGAGGACCCGGAGCACCTGGTGTAATAGCCCCCCACTCTCCCTGCGCTCCCAGCGGAGAGGGGGGGGCATCGAAAGGGCCGAAACACCTCATGAGATGTGCTGTGTGAGGAGGTTGGGACCAGGCCCCCTGACTCACTTATAGACAGCGGTAATCTGCGTTTCACTCCCCGCCCAGAGGATGAAATGACAGCAGCCTGAGCTGAAGGGCAGACGTGTGTGGGAGTGTCCTGCTCTGTATGCGTAACACCACTAACAGAGGGAACCCCGGAGACGGAGGGAAAAACCTGACCTAGACTTTCATTACCACCCCTGGGGAATGAAGTGCTGGATTTACCCCGGAGACGCTGAGAAAAGGGAGAGAGGCTCGCAAAACCTGGTCCTGACCCAGCAGACACTACACTGGCCGCTGTGGGAAGTGGTATGGAGGGATGCGGCCGCTGTGGACTCAACGTAACCAAAGGTGATAGACCTGTGTGTGATGCAATGCTGCCCTCTACCTGAGATGACAAACCATGCATGGCAAAAAGATGACGCTCAGACCGAGAATACGGTACACCTTGTCGTTTATTGAAAAACTTTTTCCCCCCCCGAACTCCCCGACTGTAGGGAGGGCGGCGGTGGGAGCGTTGGTCACGGAAACCACCGGAGTAAGGCTCTGAACCCCGTGGTCTCTGCGGAGTGTAGCGGCCCGGGCAAGGAGCAGGAGGGGGCGGAGCTGAGCGTCGCCGAGGTGACCGGTCTCTCACTCTCTCTCTGCCGCGATAAGGCTGCTGCTGTTGTTGCTGCTGCTGCTGTTGCTGCTGCTGCTGTGACACACGGCGAGGGAGCAGATGAGGAGCCAGCATGGCGGAGTCTTTGGCAGCAGCGTCCAGTCTCGCGACGAGCCCCTTCATGTCTGGACCGAAGAGGGAATCCATGGAGATAGGGAGGTCCAGGAGCTGCCTCTTCTCCGTCTCCTTGATGTCCGCGAGCCCCAGCCACAGATGGCGAGCACCGACCTGTGCGGACGCCATGGATCGCCCACCGTCAATAGCCAGCGCCTGGATCATACGGAGTATGGCCGCCGTGGTGGTTTTGGCCCGGTCCAGGTCCTCGTCGGTGAGAGCTTGACCCGTGGATAGAGACCTATCGAGGGCCCCGGTGAGAAGAGCCATATTGCTAGCTAACGCAACGACCTGTGCTGCGTTAGCGTAGCATCTATCCAGAACAGCCATGCTCATCCTATCCCGCTCCGAGGGAAGGAGAGGTCTGCTGCCGGGCCACACCGAGGACTGCGGGAGTAGTGCGAGCCGGACAGCGTCCTCCACTTCCGGGACCCCTTTGGACCAGGACCAGTCTTGGACCGAGCAATAGGCGCCGTACCCCAGAGCAGGCTTCTTAGCTGCTAGGGGTTTGGCCCAATCACGTGCCGCGTAATGGAAAACCCGGATCCATCCGCGGACACAGTGTTGGAGCTCGTCTCTTCCTCCCTGGAAGCGATGAACCCACCGACGTGAAGTCGCTCTCTCTCTGGGTGGGTTGCGGAGGCAGAGGGGTCTCCATGGTGGCCGCTGCCATGGCGAAGAGGCGGGGCATGTGGTCCAGAGGGAAGCGGTCTTGTTCCTCGCACAAGGAAATAGCCTCGTCGAGAGTGACGTAGGAACCCCCGGTCCTCGTCAAACTCTCCCTCCACAACACAGTCTCCCCACTCCCTGGGTGCAGGAGGCAGGTCGAGCGGGACATACTCAACCTCAGGTTCCTCCTCCTGGGAGGGACCCGGGCGAGCCTCCGCGGAGGTGGCATAAGCAGCGCGGCGCTCTCTCTCCTCCCCGGGGAGAGAAAGGCACGCCGCACACGTCGCCGCTTCCCGGTGGTGGTGAACTCCCAGGCAGAGGAAGCAGAACTCGTGCCGGTCTTTGCGGTGGAGCTTGGTCCGGCAGCCACCGCACCGTCTTCGTCCGACGCCGGATGGCGAGGAGTTCTCGGACGAGGAGGAGTAGACATCGCGATCTTCAATGGTGAGTAGAACTTCTCTCAATGGCGCCAGAGTTCAAAGTGGAGAGCATGGACTGCTGTGGGCTATTTATAGGAGGGTTCTGCACAGTGATTGGAGCATTGAGTTCTCTCTGGCGGGAAGCTGGTGCTTCTGGAGTCAATACCCAGGGGGGTGGGGAGGGGGCGGGGGGGGGGGTGCGGAAAGCGAGTGTGGGTGGCTGGGGTTGTGACGGGGGGGGGGGGCGGGGGGCGTTGAGAGCAGACAATTAGTACGGGGGGGGGGCTGCGGAGGGGGGGGGGCGGATGCCGGGGGGACTGGGGGGGCCGCGGGTGTGGGGGTGGGGGGAGAGTGCGTGGGGGGGGGAGGGGGTGGAGGTGGGGGGGAGGGAGGTGGGGGGGTGTGGGGGGGGGGGGGGGGTGGGGGGGGGGAGGGGGATTGCTGGGGGGTGTGGGGAGGGTGGGAGGGGGGGTGGGCGGCGACTGTTGAGGGGGATTGACGGAGGATGTGGGGTGGGGGGGGGGGGTGGGGGAGGATGGGGTGAGGGGGGGGGTGGGAGGGGGGGGGAGGGGGCGCTTGGGGGCGTGGGAGGGGGGGGGGGTGGCGGGGTGGGGGAGGCGGGGGGGTGTGGGGGGGGGGGGGGGGGGGGGGAGTGGGTGGGAGTGGGGGTGGGTGGGGTGGGTGGGGTGGGGGGGGGGGAGGGGGGCGGGGTGCGGGGGTCGGGGATGGGCTGGTGGATTGGGTTGGGGGGGGGGGGGGAGGCGGGGCGGGCGGGGGGTGGGGGTTGCGCGGGGGTGAGGGAGAGGTGGGGGTGGGGGGGTGGGGTGTGGAGGGGGGGGGGGGGGGATGTGGGGGGGGGGGGTGGGGGGATGGTTGAGGGCGGGGGGGGGGGTGGCGGGAGGAGGGGTGGGGTGGGGGGGGGGGGGGGGGGCGGGTGGTGGGGGGAGTGCGTTGGGGAGGGGGGGGGCCGGGCGGGGGGACGTGCGTGGGGGGGGGGGGGGGGGGGGGGTGTGGGGGGTGGTGGGCCGGGGGGGGATGGGGCGGGTGTGGGGGTGGGGGGGGTGGTATAACTGTGGTGGAGTGGGGGTGTGGGGGGTGGGGGGGGTGTGTGTGTGGGGTGGGGTGTTTGGGGGTTGGGGGGGAGGGGTAGGGGGGTTGGGGGGTGGCGTGGGGGAGGGGGGGGCGGAGAGAGTCGTATGGGGTGGGGGAGGGGGGGGGGCGGTTGGCGGGAGGGGGGGTAAGGGTGTGCGGGCGGTGAGGCGAGCGTGGTCTGAAATGGGGTCATGGGTTGGGCGGGGTGGGGGGGGGCCGTTGGTGGGGGGGGGGTGGGGGGGTTGTTTTTTGGGGGGGGGTGGCGTGCGGGGGGGGGGCGGGGGGGGGGGAGGGGGCGGGGGGCGGGTGGGCGGGGGGGTATGGTGGCAGGGTTGAGGGGATCGGGGGGAGGGGATCGGGGGGGGGTGGTGGGGAGTGTGGGGTGGGGGAGGGGAGGGGGGTAAAATGGGGAATGGGGGGGGTGGGGGGGGGGGAGGGGAGGTGTGGTGAGGTGGGGGGGCGGGGAGTGGAGGTGAGGGTGGGGGGGTTGGGTGTGGATGCTCGGGGGGGGGTGGGGGGGGGGGGGGGTTTGGGGGGGGGGGGGGGGGGGGGGGGGGGAGGTGGGGGTGGTTGGTGGGGGTGAGGGTGGGGGGTGGGTAGGGAGGGGGGGGGGGGGGGTAATGGGTGTAGGGGGGGCAGGGTTGGAGGACTAGAAGGGGGGGGGGGGGGGGGGGGGGAGGGGGGGCAGGGGAGGGGGTTGGAGAATGGGTAGGGGGGGGGGAGAAGGGGGGGAGGGGGGTGGGATTCATGGGGAAGGGGGGAGGGGGGGGGGGGGGGGGAAGGTGCGGCTGGGAAAAGGAGGGCGGGGGGGTTTGTCCAAGTGGTGGGGGGGGGGGAGGGGTGGAGGGGGGGGGGGTTGGGGGGAGTGAGTGTAGCTGGGGAAGGGGGGGGGGGGCGAGGGGGGGTGGGGGGGGGCAGGGGGGGGGGGGGGGAGCGCGGGAGGTGGATGGGGGGGGGCGGTCAACAGGGGGGGGAGGGGGAGGAGGGGGTGAGGGGGGGGAGTGAGAGGGTGGGGTGGGGGGAGTGGGGAGAAAAAGGGGGGGTCGTTGGGGTTTGGGCGGGCGGGGGGTGGGGGGGGAGGGGGCGGGGGGGGGGGTGGGGGGTGGGGGGGGGGGGGAAGGGGGGTGCCAGCGGGAGGTTATGGGGAGGGGGGGAGGGGGAAGGTAGGGGGTGGGCGGGGGGGGGGGTTGGGGGGGGGTATGGGTAAGGGGGTGGGGGTGTGGGTGGTGCGACGGGTGGAGGTTGTGGGGGGGGAAAATATTGGGGAGGTTGGGGGTTGGGTGGGGTGGGTGGGCGGGGAGGGGGGGGGGGCTGGTGTGGGGGGTGGAGGGGGGCGGGGGGTGGGGGGGGGGGGTGTAGGAGGGGACGGATGTGGGGGGGGTGGGGGGGGTGGGCGGGGGGGGGTGGAGGGGTGCGAAAAGGCGGGGGGGGGAGGTGGGGGGTGGGGGGTGTGGAGGGTATTTGCGGGGGTGGGCGAGGGGGTGGGGTGGTGAGGGGGGGGGTAGGAGAGGTGCGGGGGGGGGTGGGGGGGGAAGGGGGGGGGGGGGAGTGGTTGGGTGGGGGGGGGGGGGGGTGGGGGGGGGGTGGGTGGGGGTGGTCAGGACAGCGATGTGGGGGTAGGGGGAGGTAAGGGGTGGTGGTTGCGTGAAAAAGGGCGTGGTGGGGGGGGGGGTGGTAGAGTGGGGGGGTGAGGGATGTGGGCGGGGGTGGGTGGGGGGCGAAGGGGGGAGGGGGGGGGTGGGGGGGGGGAGGGGGGGGGGGGGGGGGGGGCTGGGGGGGGCTGGGGGGTGGGCGGGGGGGGGCTGGTTGGGGGGGTTGGGGGTTGCGGGGGGTGTGTGGTGAGGGGGTGGGGGGAAGGGGAGGTGGGGGGTGGTGATGTGGGTGCGGGGGGGGGGGAGAGGGGGGGGGGTGGCGGACGGAGAGACAGGCTGGGGGGCTGTGGGGGGGTGGGTGGGGGGAGGGGGGTGTGAGGGTGGGGAAGGGGGGGGGAGGGAGGGGGTGAGGGGGGGGAGCGGTGGGCGGGGGGGGGGTGGGGGGGGAGGTTCGAGGGGGAGGGGAGTGGGGGGTGGGGGGTGGGGGGGGGCGTCGTGGGTTGGGGGGTGGGGGGGGAGTGGGGAGGGGGAGGGTGGGTGGGGGGGTGGGGGGGGGGGCGGGAGGGGAAGTGTCCTTGGGGGGGGGAGGGAATGTTGTGCGGGGGGGAGGGGGGGGGGGGGAGGGGGGTGGGGGGGGGGGGCGTGGTGGGGAAATAGCGGGGGTAGGGGGGGGGGGGGATGGGGAAAGGTGAGGGCAGGGGGGGTGGGGGGGGGGGGGGTGGTGGGGGGGGTGGGCAGCAGGGGGGGGGGGGGGGTTGGGGGGGGGGGAGAGGGGGAGGGAATGTGGGTTGTGGGGGGGAGGCGCTGAGGGAGGCTGGGGGAGGGGGGGGGGGGGGTGGTGGGGGGAGGGGGGGGGGGTGGGTGAGGGGGGGGTGGGAGAGGGGGGGGGGGGGGGGGTGGGGGGGGTGAGAGATTGGGGGGGGAGCGGGAAGGGGGTGGATGGGCGGGGGGGGGGGGGGGTGTTGATGGTTGAGGTAGGTGGGAGGTGGGGAGGGGGGGTGTGTGGGAGGCGGGGCTGGTTGGGTTGGTAGGGGGGGGGGGGGGGGGGGTTGGGGGGGGGGGTTTTGGTAGGGTGTGGAGCGGGGGGGTTGGGGGGGGGGGGGGGGGTGGAGGGGGGGGGGGGGGGGGTTGGGGGGGGGGGGGGGTGGGGTACGAGGGGGAGGGTGGAGCGGGGGTGGGGCGTGGGGGGGGGGGATGGGGGGGTGGGGGTGATAGGGGTGGGGGCGTGGGGGGGGGGGTGGGGGGGACAGGGGTGATGGGGGTGGGGGGGGGTGTGGGGGGGGGCGGGAGGGTGGGGGGTGGGTGGGGTGGGGGGGGGGTTGCGGGGGGGGTGGAGGGAGGGGGGGGGGCGGGGGGGGAGGGGGGGGGATTTGGGGGGTGGGGGGGAGTGGTGGGTGGGAGGGGTGGGGAGGGGGGGGGGGTTGGGTGGGTGGATGGGGAGGGGTGTGGAAGTGCGTGGGGGGGTGAGGGGGGGAGGGGTGGAGGAGGGGGAGTGGGATGGGTGAGGGTTGGTGGGGTGGGTGGGATGGGCATGGGGAGGGGGGGGTGTGATGGGTTTTGGGAGGGGGAGTGTGGGTGGTGGGTTGGGGGGGGGGGTGGGGTGGGGAGGGAGTGGGGCGGGGGGGGGGGGTGGGGGGTGGGTGGTGGGGGGTGGAAGGAGGGTGGAAGGTGGGGGGGGGGTGTGGGGGGGGGGGTGGTCGGGGGGGGCTGGGGGGGGGGGGGGGGGGGGGCGGGTGAGTGAGTGTGTCGGGGAGGGGGGTGGGGGGGGGTTTGGGTGGGGGGGGCGGGGGGGGTTCGGGGCGGGGGTTGGGGGGGGTGGGGGAGGTGGGGTGGGTGGGGGGTGGGGATGGGGGGGGGGGGGGGGGTGGGTGTTGGGGTGGGGGGTGAGTCGGGAGTGGGGGTAGGGGGTGGGGGGGGGGGGGTGGGGGGGGGGGGGAGAGGGTGGGGGGCTAGGGGGAGGTTTGTGGGGGGTTGGGGGGGGGTGGTGTGTGGGAGGGTGGAGTGCGGGGGGGTGATTGGGGTGGTCTGTGGCGTTGGGGTTGGGGGGTGGGGGGGGGTTGGTGGGTACGAGATGGAGGGAGGGTAGGGGGGGGGTGGGGGGGGGGGGTGGGGGTTTATGGAAGGGTGGGGAGGGGGAGGGGGGGGGAGGGGGGGGAGGGTGGGTGATGCGCTGCGGGGGGTGGGGGGGGGGGCGTAATTTGGGGGGGGGGGGGAGGGGGGGAGGGCCGCTGGATGCGGTGAGGAGTGGGTGTTGGGGTGGGGGGGATTGGGGGAGGGGAGGCGGGGTTGAGGGGGGGGGGGGGGGGGGGGTGGTGGGGGGGGGGGGGGGGTGGTGTGGAACGTTGGGGGGGAGGCGGGGTGGGGGAAGCGGGGGGGGTTGTGGGGGTGGGGGGGGGGGGTGGGGGGGGGTGGGGCGGCGGGGTGGGGTGGGGGGGGGGTGGGGGGATGGCGGGGGTGGGGGGGTGGGGGGGGGAGGTAGGTGGAGAGGGGGGCTATGCGGGGGGAGGGGTGGGGGTGGGGGTGTGGGGGGGGCAGAGTGGGCGGGGCGGTGGTGGGTGGGGCCGGGGAGGTCGGGGGGGGGCGGGGTAGGTTGGGGGGGGGGGTGTGGGTGGGGGGGGGTGGGGGGGGTGGGGGGGGGGGGTTGGGTGGGTGGGGTGTGAGGGGGGGGGGGGGTGTGGGGGGTGGGTTGCGTGAGGAGGAGCTGTATGCGGCGAGGGGGGGGGGGAGGATCGTGGACGTTGGGGGGAGAGGCTGGAGGTGGGGGGGGGAGGGGGGGGGGGGAGGGGGGGAGGGGGGAGCGTAGGGTGGAGGGTATGGGGGGGGGGAGGAGGGGTTGGGTGGTAGCTGGGTGGGAGGAGGGGGGGGTTGGGGGGAGGGGGGGGGGGGGGGAGGGGTGGGGGGATGGGGGGGAGTGGGGGCGTGGAGGATTGGGGGGGATGGAGGGATGGGGGTGGGCTGGGAGGGGGCGGTGGGGCGGGGAGCATGGGTGGGGTGGGGGGGGGGCGTGGGTGGGTGTGGGGGGGGGGGGGTGATGGGGAGAGGGCGTGGGGTAACAGGGGGGGGGGGGGGGGGGGGGGGGAGGGGGGGGGTCGGGGGGGGGGGGTGGGCAGGGAGGGTTGTGGGGGGGGGGGTAGGGGGGGGTGGGGGGGGGGGGGGTGGGGGGGGGGGGGGTGTGTGGGGAGGTCCCTTGGGGTGTGGGGGGGGTTGAGTGGGGGGGCGAAAACACGGGGTGGGGGAGGGGGTTTGAGTGTTGAGGGGGTTGGGGGTGTGGGGGAGAGGGGGGGGGGGGGGGGGGGGGTGGGAATGGGGAGTGGGGGAGGGGGGAGCATGGGTTTGGGGGCGGGTGGGGGGGGGTGTCGAGGGAGGGGGTTGGGGGGGGGGGGGGGGGGGGGTGGGCGGGAGGTAGGGGTGGTGGCGGGTGGGGGGGGGGGGGGTGGGGCGGGGTGGGAGGGTTGGTGGGGGGGGTGGGGGGGGGGCACTGGTGGGGTCTGGATTGCGGGGGGGGGAGCCCGGGGAGGGTCGAGGTGGCGGGATTGCGGGTGAGGAACAGTCGCGGTGGGCGGGTTGGGGGGGCGCGGGCCGGGGGGGGATGGGGGTCGGGGGATGGTGGGGGGGGAGGGGGGGGGGGGGGATGGGGTGGGTGTGGGGGTGGGGGGTTGGCGGGGGGGGGGTGATGGGGGGGGGGGGGGTGGGGGACTGGTGGAGGAGCGGGTTGGCGGTTGGCGGGGGGGGGGGTGGGGGTCATGGTGTGGGGGGGGTGGTTGGGGGAGGGGGGGGGGGTGCGGGAGGGGGAAAGGGGGATGTGTGTTGGGGTTGGGGGGTGGGGGGGGTTGGTGGTGGGGGTGGGTGGGGGGGGGGGGGGGGGGGTGGGGGGGGGGCGTGGGGGGGGGGGGGCATTGGGGTCGGTGTTGGGGTCGATGCCCGCACAAAGCCAAAACCGGCCCGCCGCGCCCACGCGAGACGCGCGAGCTACCGCCCCGCCCCAAGCCGACGAGCATGGGGTTGGTCACACCCTAAGCTCCGCGCGAGGTGGTGGGGGGGTATCGGGGGGGGGTTGGGGGGTTGTGCATGTGCGGCGGGGATGGTTGCCGGCGGGCCCTCGATGTGTGAAGGAGAGGTTCCGCAGGTCTTTCCTTCCTGCTGCTGTCAGACTGTACAACAAACAATAAGGACCAATAAGGACTAATGAACACTGCCAACTTGATTCCAGTGTCATTCTCGCATCGTTGCAATATCCTTATACCAGAATGTGCAATACACAGCTGCCAATATACAGTTGTAAACATACTGCTGATAATCTACAGTTGTAAACATACTGCTGATAATCTACAGTTGTAAACATACTGCTGATAATCTACAGTTGTAAACATACTGCTGATAATCTACAGTTGTAAACATACTGCTGATAATCTACAGTTGTAAACATACTGCTGATAATCTACAGTTGTAAACATACTGCTGATAATATACAGTTGTAAACATACGGCTGCTAATGTACAGTTGTAAACATACGGCTGCTAATGTACAGATGTAAACATACTGCTGCTAATGTACAGATGTAAACATACTGCTGCTAATGTACAGATGCTAACAAATAACTACACTTTACTTGCACTAGATTACACAGTACTTTATACTTGCCTCTTATTTAGTCAATTTTAAATATTTACATCTATTATATTTTCAAGATAGAGATTTTATACTTGTTATTGATGCTAGAGTTAGATTGTTTGGTATAGCTATTTTTTCACTTAACGTGTGCTGTGTGCTCCACTTTCCTACTGTCCTATAACCTGTGATGCAACACCGAAATTTCCCCACTGTGGGACAAATAAAGGATCTCTTAATCTTAATCTTAAATGGTGTAGGAATACCTATCATTACACAATTTTCATAGAATAAAGTAAAAACTCAGAATATGTGCAGATAATTGGTTCAATATTTTTACTTTTCAAAGTACTCTTGTCTATCGGTCAATGGACAAGGGGAAAAAAATTGATCAGCTCAGAACCAGTCGTAAGCCAGTCCAGAACCAGTCCAGAACCAGTCATAAACCAGTACAGTCCAGGAAATGTCCAAAACTAATACCTTGAGAAAAGGGGTTTTACCTGCCACAGAATATTGGTTTTTCGATTAAATGTAATGTTATGATAATTGTTTTAGTTCTGTACCTTTAACCTTGTTTTATTCATGTACTTGTCATGTGCACACTGGGGACTTTTGCAAATGTATTCCAATATGGTTTTGCTGCACATTGCAAATTAATAAATTTGAATTACAACCAGTGAAAGTCTGTCTCCGGGAGAGGTCCTTCCTCAGCTGGAGAAGGTCTTCTTCTCAGTGTGAGATCGACAGATGGATTGGTGCTACACAAAAGTACATGTAATTGAATTGAATTGACCCTCCCCCAACACCTATTCGTTCACACTTCCTGGATTAGGCTCCTCAAATGATCCTCAAAGGAATAGCGGAATTACAGTGACAGATTTTAATTGCATGTGGTGTCTTCCCCAAGTGACCACCTCGACCACTTAGATGAAAGATGAGAGAAGCTATCGTCTGCTACAGCACCTCCCAACTTTAGATTTCAATGTGATATGGATTTATTCATTGTTGTGAAACATAAACAATGATGGAGATGGACATACACAGCTTATGTGGACAGAGTATGGACTATTTGCTACTTTTGGTATTTTTTTGTGACATGTCTTTTTGATTTTGCATAAAGTTTAATATTTTGTACAGCCATCATTTCAATTAATCACACTAAAACAAGGCTTCTCTGATATCCATTTCAATTACGTATAAATTGTAATGTGGTGAAATGTAAAAGGAACCCAAAATGCAGGACTGAATTTAAAGTGTAATTTAATCAAATAAATTCAAGGTAAGTAAGTAAGTAATGTTTATTTATATAGCGCATTTTACAGATCAAGATCACCCAAAGCGCTTTACAATGTTCAGAGTTCGGACAGTTTTCCATTCTCTCCACACACGATGTTGACGAAAGTGAGACGCTGAACAAACTCCATGCAAACTCCACTCAGAAAAGCCCTGTTCCGATCGGGATTCAAACCCAGGACCTTCTTGCTGAGAAGTGAGAGTGCTGTCCACTCAGCCCAAGCATGGTATCAACGATGGACGGACAACAAGTGGGGAGAAGCACGGGGAATAAATACACATAGGGTCAAGTGGGGAGAAGCACGGGGAATAAATACACATAGGGACAAGTGGGGTAAAGCACAGGGAATAAATGCACATAGGGACAAGTGGGGTAAAGCACAGAGAATAAAGATACACAGGAACAAGTGGGGTGAAGCACAGGGAATAAATGCACATAGGGACAAGTGGGGTAAAGCACAGAGAATAAAGATACACAGGGACAAGTGGGGTAAAGCACAGGGAATAAATGCACATAGGGACAAGTGGGGTAAAGCACAGAGAATAAAGATACACAGGGACAAGTGGGGTAAAGCACAGGGATTAAATACACATACAGTATAGGGAGACACAAGTGAAACACATCAGGGCAAACCATAAACAGGAGGCAGGAAGCAAACTCCAACTACAAGAAAACAAATATAATAAAATTAAACTAGGTCAAATTAATCCAAAAGTCCACTCAATGATATACAATTCCCCCTGCAATGTCCGGTTATAAGCAGCACACATACACGCATGGACTTTAGGGAAGCCTTGCTGTACCTAAAGGAGAGTATATGCTATAGCTGCATTGACTACTGTATCAGGCTATAGCAGCGTGTGTATTCCCATGTTCCCTCCTGCTCTGTTCTCTTCTCTCCCATTAAAATGTCACCTCATTCTCACAGACAGCACCGTGACCTGGAACATTGGAACCTTATGCAATAGATTTTTTTTTTTTTTTTTTTTAAAGAGCTTCATGTTTCAAGAGCATTTTGCAGGTTTGACTGAAGCTCGGTTTATTTTCATGGACACTCGTCAGAAGCCACTAATCCCCAATGAGACATGACATTTAGCCGATCACTACAGAACCATGCTGGGTTTTGGAGCAGGTTTTCAAACTGTGGTGCAATACTGACAACTTTAAGTAGTTTTTTAAACGTGTGGGATAAATATAAGGTGAATCAGTTAGGCTGCATCATGGTCACTTTTACATTTATACACATGTTACAGAGCAGTTTTGCAGCAGAAAGACTGAGCAAGAAAGTGTCCGGAGGTGATGAAAAAGTGAACTAGTGTTTCTGGAGCGATGTTTAGTTGAATCATTTCCTCGACCATTTTCTATTTCTTTTTGATAAATGTAATGATTCTCACACAAAAAGGAGTTTTTGCTAAATATTAATTAACTTTTTCTGTACCAGACATATAGTTGTTCCTGTCCAATAAACATTTTGAAGTGAGTAAAGAAAGTAGACATTTTTAAATTATTAATATTTTAAAAAGGCAAATAGAATTTATTTATATATATATATCTGGGAACACCAGCCACAGTGGGGCGGCTGCGGCTGTAAAGTGCCAAACTGCTGTTGTGCCCTTAGGCAAGACACTTCACCCCCATTGCCTAGAATGAGTCTGGTGTGTGAGTGAATGGTTGGTGGTGGTCGGAGGGGCCGATGGCGCATACTGGTTGCCTCGCTTCTGTCAGTGTGCCCCAGGGCAGCTGTGGCTACAGTAGTAGTTTATCACCACCGTGTTTGGAGTGAAAGAATAATGACATGTAAAGCGTCTTTGAGTGTCCAGAAAAGTGCTATATAAAACCAATGCATTATTATTATTATTATTATTATAAATGTATATGTATAACATCATTAGAAAAAATCTTGAATGCTTTCTTTTGGTAAAGGTCTGGTCACATGATGCAGAGCTATTGTATCAGATGTATTTCACCAAAGAAAATGGCAATTGGGAAAAATTGGATGATTTGCTGAATGTCTTTGAGTTAACACAAGGCTTGTTTTTATTAACAGATGTTTCTCCACTTATTGCTCCAATGGTTGCATTTCAAAAATATTCATACAGTTTAATGCTATAAATCACAAACTAATTAATGCTATAAATCACAAACTAATTAAATAAAAAAAATCCCATGATATATATATATATATATATATATATATATATATATATATATATATATATATATATATATATATATATATATATATTTACCACCATATATATATATTTACCACTGACAAAGAAAAAACTAAAGTGAATGTTTGAACATGTTTTTGTTTTCTCCAAAAGACGCAGCTTCCTGGAAATAGAGGTCAAGGTCAGGTCCTCCTTTGACAGGTCTCAGGCTTGAGGCCAAAGCAAAGATAAGACATGCAAAAGCCTGGACAAAAATACAGAGCAACAACAAAACTATTCCGATTGTTGTCCATTGACATTTAAAGCCCTCTGTGGTTTTTAAAATCGCATCTGAGTCTGACCACTGCTTTTGTTATTGAAGGCTATACAAATAAAAAATAATATCCATTTAATTAATAAACAAAATACAACATTGTGACGCCAGTGAGCAATGATTTTCAAAACAAGAGGCTACACATAAATATATGTATTCAAATTGACATGAACCTGTATACAAATAATTGAATTATATAAATACTGTATCAAGTCATATTTCTAACACAAAATATGAAATTCAGTTTAACATTTTGAAAGAATAAATAAGTTATTGTTTTATTTTGAAACCAACAGAGCGGAAGTTGGCTCTCACACTATTCCGTCCATGGATGAAGTAGATTAGGCTAACATGTCAATGTTCGCTAGTTTTAACACTCTTTTTACACACTGATGCATGTATTTTATTATCAGCTGACCGGTTCTGTTCGTGGGATGTCATTTGTGGTTATATTTGTTGTTATATAAGTGTATTTCCTTGAGATTATCCGTCCCAGGGGTGAAGGATCCCGTTAGCACCGCAGCAGGACAGACTGTGCAGGAGGAAGAGCCATGTGGGTCTTTGGTTACGGGTCGCTCATCTGGAAAGTCGATTTTCCTTATGAAGAAAAGAAAATTGGTTTTATTAAAGGTTTCAGTCGGAGGTTTTGGCAAGGCAGCACGGATCACAGAGGAGTTCCTGGAAAAGTGAGTAATAACTTTAAACCTATGCAAAGCCCGAGTCATTTTTTTAAATATTAAATTTCAAAACTGCATTTGTTGGAGATAGCAATAAACATTACGTTAAAATAGTTCTTAATACATTGTAATCATAGCTTTCTATGAGTCGATCTTAAACTTTAGACATTTTACCTGTAGTTATGTCAGTCAATATTACATCATCATTATCGATAATTTGTATTGTCCATTTGTCACATAAAAAAATGTCACTTAATATTGAGTTTTATTATAGTAATAATTTAAAGTAACATTTCGATTCTGATTATTATCTAGTCCTGGTTTAGTCCCTGTTTTAATATTTCATCATACACAATTATCAGAGGATCATGGTCAAACTGGGACAAAACTAAAATGTATTCAGAGCCACAAATGAACCAGAGCATGTGTTAAAATCACTCTAAATGTTGTGTATAGTAATGTAATTTTTTATTTAATATGAATCATTTGGATTGTCATGGTGATTCAGCTAAATTTTCACATGACTGATATAGTATTCATGACCAATTAAACTACCCGAATACATTGGTAATAATATATTATGAATTCAACAGTACAAAACCAGGACTAGCTTTTGTTTTATTATATTTATTTATGTTTTGCAAATTATTAGAACTTCAAAACAAAAACTGTGTTCAAAGGCATTGTATGAACGCAGCCTTTTGTAGCAGGGACATTTTGTATACAAATTCAGTGCTGCTAAAGCTAGGGTACCTTTTTTGTCTCAACAGAAAGAGTTTTGTAAAAGTACAATCTTGTGAAAGAATCAGACCACACCATGCTGGCTTTATCTCAGAAAACATATTAAGAATCCTGTGAAACACTCCTCAGTTTGAACGCTCACTTAAAGATTTAAAAGAGCCCAAAAATGCCATTAATGTGAAAACTAGTGATAGAACTAAACAGTTATGAGACTGAGGAGCTAGTTCAACTCAATTTCAATTCAATAATTTTCTGTGTAGCTGAAACAACAGCAATTGTCTTGTAGGACTTTACAAAGTTGTTGATTCACCAACAACAGGTCAGAGAATGAAACGGTTTGAACGCAAGAAATGCAATAATAACAAACACATAGGAGTCGCTGGTCCATTGGGAGTGTGATGACCGCTGTCCAGAAATGTCCAGAAATGTCCTTGTATGTCCCGGATCATGTCCCTCCTGTATCTGCAAGGTACGAATCAAAAACCCAGAGACCTCAGAGGCCCACACAGAGATAAACCCACACGGATGGACAGGCTAAAGATCCAGGACTCAGGCTGTTAAACCAGGACTGAGGCTGTGCGGTTCTGGACTATTTACATGGATTTTTGTTTCATACTCAAATATTGGTGTTTTTGAAACTCAGGCACCTCAGCTTAAAATGTATGGAACCCAATGAAGTTTAAGAAAGGTGTGTTGTATATTTCATTCATGTTGTTTTTCCTTTGCGACAGCCCGGGCGAGTGGTGACGCTGGTGGAAGATCCAGAGGTAAGATTGTCTGTTATGTAATCCTCCCCTCGCTGCTGCGTCGCTGTTTGTTTTTGTTCTCCTCAAAAGGCGTTGAACCCTCCGACAGGTGGTTGTCAAATGAATCATGCTCAAACCATGAAGAAAACAGGTGCATGCCTTTGTACAGGGAGGCCCAACGCAGTGTTTCTCAACCAGGGGTGCGGTTATGTGCAAGAACTTGAAGCATGGGAATACAAAAAAAGGTTGAATTGAATTGTATTTCATCTTATTGGACCCCAAAACGCTTTTTTAATTGTTAACTTGCATGCATGGTAAATATTTAAAGAACAACTCACCCTCAAATCCACTTTTTTTTCCTGATAAACTGTATAAATGAGTGTCCAATAGTGTTGTCTACATGTCCTTATCATTATTTTGACATTTTAGTGCAAACTTGTTCAAAATCCAATTTTTGTGTACAAAACCGTCTGTTCAGCGCCTCTCACGTTTGAACAGCACTTACTACATTTGAATTTAGTGGTTGGCAGAGGAGGTACCATCATACGTCACCAAGTCTGCCGCTGTGGTATAAAAGCTGACCCCTCCCCTAGAGGCTCTCGTAGAGTGTTGGAGTTGGAGTTGGATCAGAGCGAGCGAGTTTTTTCACAGCGATTATCAGGTTTGCGTTATTAGTTCAATACTTAGCCAGTTAGATTAGTTACATTTAATATAGTTTTATCCCTAGTAGTAGGCCTAGTTGTTTTATAGCGTTAGTTAGTCTTTAGCTTTATTGTTAGTGTTAGAATAGTTTCCGTTTAGCATAGCCGTTAGCATTGAGCTTTAGTTGTATTGTTTATGTAGTATTAGTGTAGTGTTTTGTGTAGTGTATTGTATAGTTAATAGTAAGTATGGGGAGGAAGTGTATTGTAGTGGGCTGTAGTAGTTCTACTGGTTTACATGGTATTCCAGTAGACTTAGAAATTAGGCGCCAGTGGTTGCGCGCAATTGGCAAGGGCGAAGGTGAACTCCCTTTGCGTCCCGGAGTTTGTGACAAACATTTTTCGCGGGATTCCTACTCCAACGCATTAGCGCTTGAAATGGGCTTCTCCAAGCAGCCGTGTTTGAAGAGAGAGGCAGTCCCCACCCTGGCTCTCCCCACCCTGGCTCTCCAACAGCCATGGCTACCGGGAACGGCATTCACACTGCAGGTAAAAGTGCAAAAATAAAGCTCGCTATGTTGTGTCAACATATTTGATTACAGCTTTGATTTGGGGATTGAAAAGTAAAATATAATAATTTCTATGTGTGTGTTTTTTTTAATTGTTATATTTGTTACTGCATCGAGCAGTTAGCATCCTCCTGTAGTAATACTTGTTAGTTACCTATTGTAACTGTAGTTCTACGAATAGTGCGTAGCCCCTTAGGCTCGCTTTGGGTATGACTCCAGAAGCACCAGCTTCCCGCCAGAGAGAACTCAATGCTCCAATCACTGTGCAGAACCTCCTATAAATAGCCCACAGCAGTCCATGCTCTTCACTTTGAACTCGCCAAAGCCAGGTTGGACTGATGGGCCCGTAGCTAAGGGGCTACGCACTATTCGTAGAACTACAGTTACAATAGGTAACTAACAATTCTACTTCATAGTGCTACGCCCCTTAGGCTCGCTTTGGGTAACGAAGCGTAGCCTAAGAGTATGTACTCCCATCAGGCCAGCTAGCAGTGATTGGAGCCCTGCCGAGTAGGCCCTAACACCTCCAAGGTGTGGGAACTCAAGACAGACAGGGAATGAGCAGTGATGGGGCCGCTCCTATCAAGGACGCCCAAGGATAAGCTCAAAGGTGAAGCAGTGGTAGGGCCGCTCCTATCAAGGACGCCCGAAGCACTAACAGAATCCAAGAGGGAGGCCGTTCCAGGAACAGCCAAGTCTCTGACCAAACGCCCAAGGGCGAAGGTCTGATCCGTATAACCCTGGACCTGAAGGTTGAGGAAACGACCTTGGGGAGAAAGGCCGGGTTGGGCCACAACTCCACCAACCCATCCCCCGGACCAAAGGACAGGCAGGCCGGGCTGATGGAAAGAGCGCACAGTTCTCCCGCCCTCTTGGTTGATACCAGAGCCAATAAGAGTGCGGTCTTGAAGGCCACGCATTCTGGGCTGGCACGGGTCAGGGGTTCGAAAGGAGGCCCTGACAGCCCTTTCAAAACCACCTTGAGGTCCCAGATCGGAGGTGTTCGTCTAAGGACCGGCCTCTTCCTGTAGGCCCCCCGAAGGAAGCGTTTGATTAACGGGTGGGAGCGGGCTGAAAACCCCCCGAACCCTTCGTGACCAGAGGCAATGGCCGAAGCGGACACAGCCAAGGTACTAGCGGCCCTGCCCTTATCCAAAAGGTCCTGCAGGAATCCCAGGACGCCCTCTAGAGGGCAAGACCTGGGGTCCCACGAGTGGGCCGCGCACCAGTCTTTGAAAAGCTTCCACCGGCACCCGTAAGCCCTCACGGTGGAAGGTGCCCTCGCCCCTTGGATGGTATCCACCACCGCCCGGGGGAGGCCTAGTCGGACTAGGTTCTGCCTCTCAGCTTCCAAACCCAGAGCCTGTGGCCCAGGACTGGGCGGGAGCGAAGCGTCCCCCCTCCCTGGACCAGGCCCCCTGGCACGTCCGGGAGAGGCCACGGGTCCATCACAGACATGTTGGTCAGGAACGGGAACCAACGGGCCTGTGGTCGGTCTGGGGCGACCAGGATTACCTCCCGCTCTTCCTGCTCGATCCTCCTCAGTAGGATCGGTAGGAGACGAGGGGGGGGGAAGGCGTACAACAGGCCCCCTGGCCACGGATAATGAGCCAAGGCATCCACCCCTAGAGGCGGATTGTCCGTGGGTCTCAGTGCGAACCAGAGCGGGCATTGCGCGTTGTCTGCACTGGCGAACAGGTCGACCACAGGCCGACCAAACCTCTGCCAGACCTCCGCTGCCATCTGCGGGTCGAGGCCCCACTCGTCCTCGAGAGGGCCTCCCCGTGACATTATGTCCGCCCCTGTGTTCCTGTCTCCCGGAACATGACGCGCTCTCAGAGACTGCAGATGCCCTGCAGCCCAGATCAGAATGGTCGCTGCCAGTCGGTGGAGGGCTGGGGACCTCGTGCCCCCCTGCCGGTTCAGATACGCCACCACTGTGGTGTTGTCTGAGCGCACCATCACGTGTCTCCCCGCTAGTTGTGGAGCGAAATGCAGAAGCACCCTGTGAACCGCCTCCATCTCCAGCAGATTGATGTGACGAAGAGGGCCTGACCAGGCGCCCCCCACAGAGCTCTGGTGCAGAACCCCCCCCCATCCCTCCAGAGACGCGTCCGTGAACACCTCCACGTGTGCCACGGCACCTACCAGGGGAACTCCTTCCAGCATCAGACCGGGCGTGAGCCAGTAGCTCAGGTCCTCGGCCACTCCTGGAGGAACAATGAGCCTTCTGCCCCCGTCTCTTGTGGGATGTAGTCGGAGACGGGAGAACCACCTCTGGAAACGTCTCAAGTGAAGGAGACCTAGCCGCACCACTGCATGAGCTGATGCCATCATCCCCAATAGAGACCGTATTCGTCGGGCGGTCACTGTGGGAGAGGTCAGCGCTTCCTGAGCTAGACGCGTGATGCTCGAGCGTCTGTCCTGGGAGAGCGCTGCCCGAAACTCCACCGAGTCTAGCTGTAGACCTAGATAGACTAAGCGCTGTGCGGGTTGCAGATTGCTCTTTTCCCTGTTCACCACAAAGCCTAGGCGCTGCACGTGTGACAGGACCCAGTGCGTGTGAATGGTGGCCTGCTCCAGAGACGGGGCCAGAATCAGCCAGTCGTCTATATATGTCAGGATTCTGATCCCTGCGCGTCTGAGTGGTTCCAGCGCCGCCTCCACGCACTTGGAGAAGGTGCGTGGGGCCAGAGCGTAACCGAAGGGGAGGCGAGCAGTACTCGTAACACTTCCCTCCCACGGTGAAGCGCAGGAAGCGTCTGTGCTCCGGTACTATGGCAACGTGGAAGTAAGCGTCCGTCAGGTCTATGGTTGACATCCAGTCCCCGGGCCTGACGCACTCTAACAGATGTTTTGTGGAAAGCATCCGAAAGGGCCGTTTGGAAATGCACTGGTTCAGAGTGCGCAGATCCAATATAGGGCGCACCCCCCCTGATTTCTTGGGGACCAGGAAATACGGGGAGTACAGGCCTCTGGAGGCGTCCCGAGGGTCCACCAGGACCGCGGCGCCTCTGCGTAACAGGGAGGCGACCTCCATTTGGAGCGCCTCTTCTGTCTCCCGATCTGTAGGGCGCACCGCACGAATGCCCTGGAACGGCGGTGGTCTCCGTGCGAACTGCAGAGCGTAGCCCCTGCGCATCGTTTTCTTTAACCAGGGGTCTGACAGTAGACCGAGCTCTTCCCAGACCCGAAACTGCTCTGTGAGGGGAAGGAGAGGACCCGGAGCACCTGGTGTAATAGCCCCCCACTCTCCCTGCGCTCCCAGCGGAGAGGGGGGGGCATCGAAAGGGCCGAAACACCTCATGAGATGTGCTGTGTGAGGAGGTTGGGACCAGGCCCCCTGACTCACTTATAGACAGCGGTAATCTGCGTTTCACTCCCCGCCCAGAGGATGAAATGACAGCAGCCTGAGCTGAAGGGCAGACGTGTGTGGGAGCGTCCTGCTCTGTATGCGTAACACCACTAACAGAGGGAACCCCGGAGACGGAGGGAAAAACCTGACCTAGACTTTCATTACCACCCCTGGGGAATGAAGTGCTGGATTTACCCCGGAGACGCTGAGAAAAAGGGAGAGAGGCTCGCAAAACCTGGTCCTGACCCAGCAGACACTACACTGGCCGCTGTGGGAAGTGGTATGGAGGGATGCGGCCGCTGTGGACTCAACGTAACCAAAGGTGATAGACCTGTGTGTGATGCAATGCTGCCCTCTACCTGAGATGACAAACCATGCATGGCAAAAAGATGACGCTCAGACCGAGAATACGGTACACCTTGTCGTTTATTGAAAAACTTTTCCCCCCCCCGAACTCCCCGACTGTAGGGAGGGCGGCGGTGGGAGCGTTGGTCACGGAAACCACCGGAGTAAGGCTCTGAACCCCGTGGTCTCTGCGGAGTGTAGCGGCCCGGGCAAGGAGCAGGAGGGGGCGGAGCTGAGCGTCGCCGAGGTGACCGGTCTCTCACTCTCTCTCTGCCGCGATAAGGCTGCTGCTGTTGTTGCTGCTGCTGCTGTTGCTGCTGCTGCTGTGACACACGGCGAGGGAGCAGATGAGGAGCCAGCATGGCGGAGTCTTTGGCAGCAGCGTCCAGTCTCGCGACGAGCCCCTTCATGTCTGGACCGAAGAGGGAATCCATGGAGATAGGGAGGTCCAGGAGCTGCCTCTTCTCCGTCTCCTTGATGTCCGCGAGCCCCAGCCACAGATGGCGAGCACCGACCTGTGCGGACGCCATGGATCGCCCACCGTCAATAGCCAGCGCCTGGATCATACGGAGTATGGCCGCCGTGGTGTTTCTGGCCCGGTCCAGGTCCTCGTCGGTGAGAGCTTGACCCGTGGATAGAGACCTAACGAGGGCCCCGGTGAGAAGAGCCATATTGCTAGCTAACGCAACGACCTGTGCTGCGTTAGCGTAGCATCTATCCAGAACAGCCATGCTCATCCTATCCCGCTCCGAGGGAAGGAGAGGTCTGCTGCCGGGCCACACCGAGGACTGCGGGAGTAGTGCGAGCCGGACAGCGTCCTCCACTTCCGGGACCCCTTTGGACCAGGACCAGTCTTGGACCGAGCAATAGGTGCCGTACCCCAGAGCAGGCTTCTTAGCTGCTAGGGGTTTGGCCCAATCACGTGCCGCGTAATGGAAAACCGGATCCATCCGCGGACACAGTGTTGGAGCTCGTCTCTTCCTCCCTGGAAGCGATGAACCCACCGACGTGAAGTCGCTCTCTCTCTGGGTGGGTTGCGGAGGCAGAGGGGTCTCCATGGTGGCCGCTGCCATGGCGAAGAGGCGGGGCATGTGGTCCAGAGGGAAGCGGTCTTGTTCCTCGCACAAGGAAATAGCCTCGTCGAGAGTGACGTAGGAACCCCGGTCCTCGTCAAACTCTTCCTCCACAACACAGTCTCCCCACTCCCTGGGTGCAGGAGGCAGGTCGAGCGGGACATACTCAACCTCAGGTTCCTCCTCCTGGGAGGGACCCGGGCGAGCCTCCGCGGAGGTGGCATAAGCAGCGCGGCGCTCTCTCTCCTCCCCGGGGAGAGAAAGGCACGCCGCACACGTCGCCGCTTCCCGGTGGTGGTGAACTCCCAGGCAGAGGAAGCAGAACTCGTGCCGGTCTTTGCGGTGGAGCTTGGTCCGGCAGCCACCGCACCGTCTTCGTCCGACGCCGGATGGCGAAGGAGTTCTCGGACGAGGAGGAGTAGACATCGCGATCTTCAATGGTGAGTAGAACTTCTCTCAATGGCGCCAGAGTTCAAAGTGGAGAGCATGGACTGCTGTGGGCTATTTATAGGAGGTTCTGCACAGTGATTGGAGCATTGAGTTCTCTCTGGCGGGAAGCTGGTGCTTCTGGAGTCATACCCAAAGCGAGCCTAAGGGGCGTAGCACTATGAAGTAGAACTAGAAAGTATTTGTAGGTACAACTGTCCAATCTTCTGTATTCCTTTTAATTTGTAAGCAAATAAAAGTTCTCTGGTGTAATGGTTAGTACTTTGAATCCAGCCATTGGATCTTGGCGGAACCTCAGTCTGCCTTTGATAACAATCCTCAACTCATAAGACAGCTGCACAACTGATCAAGCTGGCACTAGAATGCATTGTTCATCAGTGTAAAATCTATGACTGTGTAAACGTCAAGCACATTATGTATTTTATTTCTTTTGAATCTTGACTAGAGAAAAATGCAGATTGACTCTTCCGATGATATTAGTCTGATTTCCGTTTTCTTTAGTATTCCTAAACATCCCTGGGTTCCATGGTGTAATGGTTAGCACTCTGGGCTCTGAATCCAGTGATCGGAGTTCAAATCTCGGTGGAACCTCAGACTCACTTGTCTACCTTTAAGAAAGCTGGACCCCTGAATTGTAACTAGAAAGTATTTGTAGGTACAATGCTAATCTTCTGTGTTCCTTTTATTTTGTAAGCAAATAAAAGTTTTTAGTATGTTCTCTGGTGTAATGGTTAGTACTCTGGATTCGAATCCAGCCATTGGATCTTGGCGGAACCTCAGTTTGCCTTTGATAACAATCCTCAACTCACAAGACAGCTGCACAACTGTTCAAGCTGGCACTAGAACGCTTTGTTCATCAGTGTAAAATCTATGACTGTGTAAACGTCAAGCACATTATGTATTTTATTTCTTTTGAATCTCGATTAGAGAAAAATATGGGTTGACTCTTCCGATGATATTGGTCTGATTTCCATTTTCCCTAGTACAACCTAACATCCTTGGGTTCCATGGTGTAATGGTTAGCACTCTGGGCTATGAATCCAGTGATCCGAGTTGGAGAGAGCTGTACCCCTGAACTGTAACTTGAAAATATTTCCGAGTTCTAATCTCGGTGGAACCCCAGTCTACCTTTGATGACAGCTCTCACTTTGCAAGACAGTAGGATCCCTTAATCACAACTGGAAAACACTACGTCCAGTTTTTGTGTTTGGTTTTTTGTAGGCAGACACTTGAAAACTGTGGTTCCATGGTGTAATGGTTAGCACTCTGGACTTTGAATCCAGTGATCCGAGTTCAAATCTCGGTGGAACCTCAGTCTCACTTGTCTTCCTTTAATGAACCTGATGAAAAATAAAATGTTTTTTGGTGGAATCTCTTAGAATGTTGTTGCTTTAAATGGGAGGAGTTAAAATAATGGCTCTGGAAGTCATTGTAATAAATTAAGATTGTAGCTAACAAAATAAAACTCCTCCCCCCACTCCACATCCTGCTCCTCCTTCTCCATAATCTTCAAAAAACAAACGAGAAAAATGGTGGATTTGTGTTTGAAGTGTGACTTTATGTGGGGCAGCTCTTGATGAATCCTGGACGAGGAAGTTTCTACATCAAGAGGATGAAGTGTTCACGATTCGGATCAGGCCAACATGCTCTTAGGATGCGGCGGCGGCCATCTTAATGAGTTTGTGGCTTATCATCACTCACAGGAGAAAGCAAATCAATCACTCCTCGTGCATGGGCGATGCAGACGAGCAGAGAGAGAGAGGAGGGAGGTGTCAACAGCTCTCGTACTGTCACGGAATTTGAAAATGTCCGAATGAAATGTCGTAGTGATAGTATTGGGTTATTTCTCCATCCCGCTCAGCTCCCAGTTTAACTGTGGATGAATGAAACAGTACATTGAAATGTAAATATAAATGTGCACTTTATTGTCCCCTTCGGGAATTTTTTTTCTCTACATTTGACCCATCCTGATGCCACTAAGGCTTCTATCAGGAGCAGTGATAGCCGTAGTAACTGCACCTGGGAACCCATCTCCAGATGTTGGTACTCAGTTTGGTCAGAACCAACCCGGGTCTTTGTAGTCTGCAGGAGGACCTTTGTAGTCTGCAGAAGGATCTTTGTAGTCTGCAGGAGGACCTTTGTAGTCTGCAGAAGGATCTTTGTAGTCTGCAGGAGGACCTTTGTAGTCTGCAGGAGGATCTTTGAAGTCTGCAGGACGATCAGCCGCAGCATGGGAACCAGGGTCACCGAAACATGTGTGACATTTTCTTTCAGCATTTTATAATCTAGAAATGGAGGGTTAGTCGATTGAGAGTCCCAGAGTTTTCTATTTGTAATAAAATCCCCATTTTAACACAATTGTCACTGAGAAATTACATTATTTTTTTACTTGTACTGACCCAGTATTCTTGTACCCTCCCCCCCTCATTTCTCTTGTGCCAATATGTAGTCTTAGAAAAGCGTTTCCCGATTCACGTTTTGATGAGCCCCTTGGTTATAGATTGTAAATGGTTAAAAAAATACATAGCAGCAGACTTGTAAACTCAAATATAACATTGGACATCTGCAGGTTTCCTCGTTGATGTTTTGTTTTGTTTATCCAATACATTTTTTGTTATAGAGGTAGGTAACAGTCAAATATGTTGTTGTAAATTAAATTAGAAGGGTAAGTTCTTGTAAACAAGTTGTGTTGGTAGAGCATTGGCCTTCAGGCCTGAAGGTCGTGGGTTCAATTCCCACCTCTACACCTTCTCCACCGACTCCCACTGATGACTGCTGTCGTTGTGTCCTTGGGCAAGACACTTAACCCCACTTTGCCCAAAGCCCCCACTGAAAGATCGAGGCTATGCTCACACTCAGAGAGCAGCCGTCCTCCTGTGGACTCACCACCTGCAGAGGGTCAGTGAGGGGCTGGTGCTATGAGACTTAGGTGGCATCTCTGATTGCCACCCCCCTGACCCAGAAATGGATTAAAGGGTAGAAAATGGATGGATGGATGGATGGATGGAGAATCCGAAAACTAGTGATGGGTCTGAGCCGCGTCTCTGAAGTTTTTAGCGGAGCGCGGGGCGAAGCCTGAGTTGTTTTAGGCGAGTCACGTCACTAATGACGTTCCAAGCCTCGGGACAGAGTACAGGAATTGGAGCGATTCATGAACTACTGCAGAGAATCCGCTTAATCTTTGTGAGTTTGTCTTGATGATTAAGTTTGTGAGTGAGATTTTATATATATTATGTATAATATATACATATATAACCAATAAACTGAGACATTATTGGTTTTAAACAACTGAACTGTTAACATGTTTTTTAACTGTTTTATTGTTTTGATGCATACATGTTTTAATGGATTTTATGTAATTTTATTGTGAAGCACTTTGGTCTTCTTGAGTGTTGTAAAGGGCTCTATAAATAAAATGTATTGATTGATTGATAGGGTCACAATTTTCTTTTGTCCTATTGGATTTATTTAATTGAATTTGACTTCTAAGTTCAATCTATAATCATTAATGATTAAATCTGTATCTATATCATGTGTGTATTAGAGCAGACAACTGTACCAGTTAACAGTACATTATAATTTTATTGTCATAAAAAATATATTTGTTATTACTAGTGATATTGATCATAATCAAACAGATGAAATAAAGATGTCAAAAAGACATCCAAATGTGAAGATTGCCCTGTCTTTGAAGAGCAACTGTGTGTTAGGCCCTCTGCAGCACTCACCTTCCTTGCTTTAGACTAGATGAATTAAAGAGTCATACACAATCAAGTTAAATTTTATTTCTGCACCCAGAGCCTCACAAACAGTTCAAAATGTCAATACAGATTTGGACCACCAGGGGGTTTGTGAGCATATGAAGCTTCAAGAAATGAACCTTTTCTTGAACCAAAGGATGGAAAGGTTCAACACTTCATGAAGCTTCATCAACCCTCCGGGCTCCGGTCAGAGAGAAGGGCACGGAGAAGGCTGGTACATCCAGATGGGGAACTTTATTGTGGATATGGAGGCATTTACAGGTGGGAATGGACCCTGTATGGGTGGATTATGGGTGGGGTGAGTTAGTGTGTGGTCAGCGTGTGGTCTGGAACAAGAACAAGTACAAACGAACCTTAGAATTTACATAAAGTTGGAACAAATATTTACACTATTTACATATATAATAAAATAATATAATTATAACAAAAAACAAATCTAAAAGAATAAAATAACTATTTACACATATTCAGGGCATTAACAGGTACACAGAAACGAGGTGGGGGATCTGACAGTAATTAGCGATCTTGTGGCTCCCTCTAGTGGTCGTGCTACGCCAACACACTAGAGGCGGCCGCATGCTCTGCAGTCGCGCTGAGGTGTCAGGTTACACTCACGCTATAAGGGCAGAGACAGGCCGAAGTGAAAGTAACTTAGCGAACTAAACTATAGAGAACAGAGAAGAATACTAATATGGTGGAACAGGCGATGAGGAAAGGGATATTAGTACAGAAGGCCATATTAGCAGATAATATAAACTATAGTATAACTATTCACAGACTAATTACATAAATATAGTCTTACAAACAACTCAAAAATATACATAGTGAACACAAACAAAGGGCAAGTCACAGAAATACAATTCTAATAGTACTACCTAGTAATGCAAACTTTCACACTTACTTCTGTCTTATGCACGCACACGTCTACTCACACAGGGGAACACAGCAGACTAACCAAAAGAGCAGAGGTGAAAGGGGGGCAGGTGACCTCACTAGTGACGTCACATAGATTACCAAAATAAAATGGCCAAACAAATAAGACTTTCTGACAATGCCGCCCCCAAATTTATCTCTAAATTTGAAGAAAAAAGAAAGTCCGATTTAGCTGGAGTCTTTTTCGTCTTCCCAGGCTGGCAACCGCACCAGACGCACGACTGGACGCAGGTAGGTCTGTCCTTTAATGTCCACTTCAGCAGCTCTGACTCGTCCGTCTGAGCCTGGACATGTCTTCACCACTCGTCCGATGGGCCAATGGGCTCGCGGTAGCTGGGAATCGACAACCATCACCACTTGGCCAGCAGTGAGGTTGTCGGTGTCCTTCTGCCATTTGGAACGCTTTTGGAGGTCTGGAAGATGGCGACGAATGAAGTTGGACCAGAAATGGTCCGCCAAGATCTGGCTATGACGCCAGCGTCTCCGGCTAAGTAGATCGCTGGATGCATAGATGGCCTGCGGGAGCGATGCATCACGTCGTCCCATGAGAAGGAGGTTCGGTGTGACGGGGTCCGGGTCTGCAGCATTAGATGAGATGTACCCCAGAGGCTTTGCGTTGAGTAGTCCTTCAACTTCAATCAGGACCGTCTGCAGCACAGGGTCTGGAATAGTCTGGTCAAGGAGTACAACCTGGAGAGCCGTCTTTATGGACCTGATCTCCCGTTCCCACGTTCCACCGAAGTGTGGGGAGCCAGGAGGGTTGAAACGGAACTCGATCTTCTGCCCTGCCAACTGTTCTTGCAGAGGTGCCTCCAGTGCAGCGAAACTAGCCTGCAGCTCAGCAGCGCCGCCTCTGAAGTTGGTTCCTCTGTCGGCAAGGATCTCAAATGGCTTTCCGCGGCGTGCGATGAATCAACGGAGGGCCATCAGGAAAGCATCCGTGTCCATGCTTTCCACGAGGTCGAGGTGCACGCAGCTTGTGGTCATACACTTGAAGATCAATCCCCACCGCTTCTCTGTGCGTCGGCCCACCTTAACGTTGTAGGGCCCAAAGCAGTCAACTCCAGTTGACCAGAAGGGGGGTTTGTAAAGGCGGAGTCTTGAGGGGGGCAGGTCTGCCATCTGTGGGACTACAGGTGCAGCGCGCCACCTTTGGCATTCAGCACAGCCATGCTGATGGTGCTTGATGGACTCCCTTCCCCGTAGAATCCAGTATCTTCTCCGGAGTTCAGCGAAGACTCTTTCGGGGCCGGGATGTAGGAGGTCACTGTCGTATTTCTTAATAAGAAGCTTGGTGACGTAGTGCTTTGGGTCGAGGATGATAGGGTGTATAGTATCAGGGTCGAGGTCTTCAGCTCTGCGGAGTCGGCCTCCCACTCTCACCAGACCAACAGCTGCATCGTACTCTGGAGCTAGCGTGACTAAGCGACTCTGCCTTGAGATTGGCTTACCATCAGCGAGAGCGTCCACCTCCTCAGGGAAACTGTCTCGTTGTGACTGTTTGAGTAGATGGAGTTCTGCTGCTAGGACGTCCGCTGCTGTCATCGTAGGGCCGCTATTGTCCTGGGCCGCCCCGTGAAGGGTCTCATGGGTGGCCTTGATGAGACTGGCCCAGTAGTGGATGTTGGGGAGGGATGAGGGTGAAGGACACGTTGTTACACCACAGAAGACTGGTTTTCTGAGCTCTTCCTCCTCTTCTTGCGCTTCTTCGATGCGGAGGACGGGCCAAGATTCTGGATGTTGGCGTAGGAAGTCTGGACCTTGACTCCACCGGCTGGGTTTGCTGAGGTGGGGAAGTGGTTTACCTCGGGTCAGGTCGTCTGCAGGGTTGTCAGTGGTGCTGTCGACTACTTCAGGGGGGAGAGGTATGGCATACCCGGATTGCTCTAGCTTCTGTATTTCCTGGCAGTAATTGGCGGTCAGGACATGGTCTTTAGCTAGACGGCGCTCTGTACTACGTAGTTGTGGGAGTAAAGTGTTTTTAGGTGCCCAGAGATTGGGACTGGTCTTGCGTCTGAGCAGTGGTGTGGCATACCTAGTCACTCCGTCCACATCGACTTTGATTGTGCGTTGTTCAAGGAGTTCTACGGCCTGCTGGTCTTCTTTGGAACGGGTAGCAGTTTTGGTATTGGTGTAGGGGGAGACGTCTACTTCCCATAAACGTTCGACATGTCGCTGCAGCTCGGAATTGGGAGACAGGGTGAAGTAGCAGTGTGATTGGTCGGCAGGGAGATGGTTGATGTTGGCTGGACCCTGGAGCGCCCATCCAAGGGCGGTGCACACTGCGAGGGGGGTCCCGGGAGGACCTGCTCGCACTGGTTTTGTTGGGAGGAGCAGATGTGGGAAATCGGAGCCGATCAGCAGTATGGGTTGAACCTTGTCGACGACTGGCAACGGAAGCTTCTGCAGGTGTGAATACTTGCGTTGGAGTGTCTTTACGGGGTAATAGTGCTCGGACAAGCTCAGCTCATCAGCAGTGAAGGCGTGATGGATGGTGTGCCTTGAGTTGGTGGAATGAGCTGGGGAGATGTCGAAAGAGACTGCTGAACCTTGCAGGTGGATCACTTCATGGTGAACGGTGCGTAGAGGAAGACTCTCTGGTTCGGTGGTTAGGTGGAGGTGTCGGACTGCAGAGGGCATAATGAGTGTGCTCTCGGATCCGTCGTCAAGGATGGCAAACCCTTCCAGTGAGTGCTCAGCGTTGTATAGGCGTAACTTTACTAGCTTAAGCATGACTCGTTGTGGACGGCTTGGACGGTCAACGTAGATGGTGTCTGGGGACGTGCTGACCATTAGAACCCGCTTCGGCTCGGGCTGGCTTACTTCATGCAGCACTGTGAGGTGTAACTGCTTGCAAGTGTGGCAGGGTTTCTTCAGAGTGCATGCCTCAGGTGGATGATTTCGTCCACATCTCCAACAGCTTCGGCCTTTGATCCATGCAGAAACGTCTGCCGTGGAGAGTGCTTTGAACTTTGGGCACAGGCTGAGGTAGTGCTCTCTGTTGTCGCAGTAGGGGCAGTATGGCTTGAAGCTAGGGTTAGCCTTGGGAGTGGTGCTACTGGCTGGATTGGGAGGAGTCAGTCTGGCTTGGCTCTCTGTGTTGTAGTACACGTTGGATGGGTGTTTCTTCTGGGGCTTTGGCGGATCTTGGAACATGAGCGCTGCCCTGGTAGAGATGCGTTTAGCTTGTGACTTGAGTTGGAGCCAGGCTGAGAAGTCGATAAGAGTGTAGGTCTTATCTGTACCAGTTCTTAGGATGTTGTGGCTGATGCTGTACTCGATGAAACTATCTCGGTAGTTGGCGGGTAGTTTGCTGAGCAGCCGGTCAACGTGAGAGCCACATCTCAGTTCGTAGCCATTCTCACCCTCCAGGGAACGAAGCATGCCCACTAAAGCTTGTACTGACAGAACAAAGTCGTCAAATGCTTCTGGATCTCCATACCTGATTGGTGGTAGATTCAATATGGCACCCAGTTCACTCTGTACAAGCTGTCGTGGCTGGCCGTATTTATCCTGAAGCGCCTGGAGCGCCGATGTGTATGGCTTAGGGTCGTGCATATAAGCTTGGGCGAGTTTATAGGCGCTTGGGAGCTTCAAATGGTCAAGGAGGACTTGATATTTGAACTGTTCTGCAAGATGGGCGTGTGAACTGAGCAGATTGTCCAGAGCCATCTTGAGAAGGGTGAAGTCTGATTCTTTACCGGAAGTGAAGTGGGGTAGTGCGGGTTTGGGAATGCCGTATGATGTAGCGATTAGTAGCTCCATCAGATCTGTGCCAGGTGCTCCTCTTAAGCCGGGGGGTGGTGCAGTGACATGCGGTGGTAGGGGCTGCTGCACGGGAAAAGGTATGTTGTTTGTAACCTTTGGCACTGGCTGTAGATGTGGCGGGGGCACGTGTTGCACTCGAGCTTGGGGGAGTGGGACAGGAAACTGCACTTGGGATGGCAGTAGAGAAAAGTTTGGTGCTGGATTGGGGGGAGGAGGCTTGGTGATGTAAGTAGATTGCGTAGTCATACTTGTGGTAGCAGGGGCTTGGACTTGAGGCACAGACATTTGTGAAGGGTTATTTGAGACGGGGGGATAAACTGCTGTAGTAGTGACTGGGGATGGAGCAGGAAGGTAGGGAGTAGAATGGAGTAGACCAGGGGGGCCCTGTGAGTGTGGTGGTAGAGGCAGAGCTCCATCAAAGAGCTTGGGGTTATACTCACAGTCACTCAGGGGCCTCGAGGTGCATGGGCTCGTAATCTCGTCTTCGGTCAGGAATGATGCAATTAGAGCCGCTCTCTCAACTTCCATCTCTTTCTCTTTCAGTCGGCGTTGCAGTATCTGTTGATTGGAAATAGCCTCTTTTGCCTTGTGTGCCATCTCTTGCTCGTTAAGGGCGTCTCGTGCTTGTCTGTCCAGTAGTAGGCACTGTTCGTCCACTAAGGTCTGCTCCATGACTTGCCTCTGTGCTTCTGCTAGTTCCATACGCTTCATTCTCTCCTCCAACCTGGCACTCTGTAGCTCGGATAGCCCATCAACTGCTGAGCCCTTGGACAGTGAGCGGAATGAGGATTGGGATTTCCTGCTGTGGTGAGAAGACACTGAGCTTCGGCGTGAGTGTGGTTTCTCTCTACGTGGAGATAGTTCCACCAGTTTGGGTACTGCAGCTTCTCCAGAGTCAGCTGTAGTGGTCGATGCAGGCAGGGTTATGACTGCAGAAGGGGTTGTAACTGAAGGTTGATATCCAACTTCAAAGTTATCCAGATGCTGTGGTAGCCGTATCTCCCGCTGGGGTCTGGTTCGCACTGCTTCGTCAGAATGCAATTGAAGTGACTCCATGTTGTCTACAGGGGGTGCTCAAATCCGGCTCGAAGGACCATGTGATAGAGTGGGATACTCTGGTGTGTGCTGATCTGAGCGCCTGCACTGTAAACGGGGCTCCGGTCAGAGAGAAGGGCACGGAGAAGGCTGGTACATCCAGATGGGGAACTTTATTGTGGATATGGAGGCATTTACAGGTGGGAATGGACCCTGTATGGGTGGATTATGGGTGGGGTGAGTTAGTGTGTGGTCAGCGTGTGGTCTGGAACAAGAACAAGTACAAACGAACCTTAGAATTTACATAAAGTTGGAACAAATATTTACACTATTTACATATATAATAAAATAATATAATTATAACAAAAAACAAATCTAAAAGAATAAAATAACTATTTACACATATTCAGGGCATTAACAGGTACACAGAAACGAGGTGGGGGATCTGACAGTAATTAGCGATCTTGTGGCTCCCTCTAGTGGTCGTGCTACGCCAACACACTAGAGGCGGCCGCATGCTCTGCAGTCGCGCTGAGGTGTCAGGTTACACTCACGCTATAAGGGCAGAGACAGGCCGAAGTGAAAGTAACTTAGCGAACTAAACTATAGAGAACGGAGAAGAATACTAATATGGTGGAACAGGCGATGAGGAAAGGGATATTAGTACAGAAGGCCATATTAGCAGATAATATAAACTATAGTATAATTATTCACAGACTAATTACATAAATATAGTCTTACAAACAACTCAAAAATATACATAGTGAACACAAACAAAGGGCAAGTCACAGAAATACAATTCTAATAGTACTACCTAGTAATGCAAACTTTCACACTTACTTCTGTCTTATGCACGCACACGTCTACTCACACAGGGGAACACAGCAGACTAACCAAAAGAGCAGAGGTGAAAGGGGGGGCAGGTGACCTCACTAGTGACGTCACATAGATTACCAAAATAAAATGGCCAAACAAACAAGACTTTCTGACAACAACCGTGACATGATGGCCCAATGTGGTGCCCAGGAGAGTATAATAGGACACCCCTGCCTTAGAGAGCCTGCCTTAGAACCTGCTTTGGGCTTTATTCATTTATATCAGTAGTTATCTCGGATCTCTTTACAGAGCTGTCAATTCGCCAACACAGAACAGAGAATCAATCAGCTTAAATACAAGAAATGCAATGATAAAAACACACAGAGAGCCATAGGTCCATAAGCAAGTAAGTAATCTGTATTTATGCACCGCCTTGCACAGACCAGAGTCACAAAGCGGTTTACAATTGTTATTTTTTGGGCATTTGTCTCTCACTCCACACAGAGATGGGAGCGGGGTCGCCAGTACGGACCTATTGTACATGGTATAGTACTTTATTTGAGCAGGGACAGTGTACAATTAAACATTATCACAGAGGAGAGATGAATTGTTCCAGGTTATAGCAAAGATGCTAATTTTCACCTCTAGTCCCTGGGCAGGCTTTTAGTGGTAGGGGAAACCAGAGTACCCGGAGGAACTTACACTCAGAAAGGCCCTGTTTTGACCGGGATTCCAACCCAGGACCTTCTTGCTGGGAAGCCAGAGTGCTATCCACGCCGCCCAAAAGAGTAGAGACCAAAGTCCATAAATTATCATATTAATGATGAGTGTCTTGGATAATCACTGTCTTTGGACCCTACTGCATCGGTGAGGAACAACAAAAAAACACAACTGGAGGAAAGTGGGAAACCTCAGGCCCACAAATCTGGTTGCTTCACAGATCTGTTTCAAAAGACATAATTTGGTGGTTTTACATTGACAAATAAAGCCATTTTAGAAATAGGTCCAGTTGAAGCCCTCAATCTACTTTTCACCATGTTCCCATCCATCCATTTTCTTCCCCTTTATCCATTTCTGGGTCAGGGGGGTGGCAGTCAGAGATGCACCCAGTACACATAGCACCAGCCCCTCACTGATCCTCCTGCAGGTGGTGAGTCCACAAGAGCCTTGATCTTCCAGCGGGGGCTTCAGGCAAAGTGGGGTTAAGTGTCTTGCCCAAGGACACAACAACAACAGTCATTAGTGGGAGTCGTGAAGTAGGTGGGCTCAAACCCACGACCTTCAGGCCTAAAGGCCAATGCTCTACCAACTGAGCCACTGTCGCCTCCTTTTCACCATGTTATTGTTGTAATATCTGAATTCTGAATGCTTTGGGTAACCTTGGTCTGCAAAAAAACGTCATTTAACTAAAGATTACTTACTTACTCTCTGAACTCTGAACAATTGTAAGCGCTTTGGGGGTGACCTAGGTCTGTAAAATGCGCTATATAAATAAACATTACTTACTAACTTACTTTCCTTTCAGATTTACTCACGTACAGTTTCTGCTCTCACAACTGCTGATGTGCGATCGAGGGAGTATCAAACCGGTTGGTTGCAGGTCTAATGATAGGCCACCCCGACCTTAGAGAGAGTTTAGCACCTTTGGGTTTTATTCCCAAACAACCCGACCCCTGAGAAGACCGAACCATCGGCACTGAAAGTAACTGAATCACCTGGAACATTCTTGCACAACCTGTAATTTGAATCAGAATGCATTCACACACATTTGATTGTAATAGTCCACTTGACATATATACAGAATGATACCCTTGGCCGAAACAATATTCAGTAAAATACATTTGCCCCAATTACAACCTAGCGTTCCTAATAAATCGTCTGCAGAGGGGAACTCAAGAGATGTCACACAAGAGCACATCAGTCTGCGAGTCTTGTTTACCATAACAGCCCCTTGCCAAGGATTCTCCTGAGGGACACTTGTTTTAATAAAATCGGAGGCCCCCATATTAAATTCTAATCCATTAGCATGCCAAGCAGATCCCTGGCCGCGCTTTATCAAACCATCGGAATAGATGAATGTCCCTTCATTATTTCAATAAACAAGTGCCTCCTATCGCTCGCTGCCAGTCTGCATTCGCCCCACACCTCCCCGCCAATAATGCCGCTGTTTGTTATGAAAGGACCTCGCCAATTTATCGCTAAAAAGGTTGTGTCAAGGGCGTTTTGTCCATACGCGGCTTTATAGTTATGAGGTGATGCTGAATAAATCATGTCTTTGTCTGCCCTAAAATGACGGCGCATAATGCAGGCTATTTTTAGAGCGAGGCTGCAATAAATACATTTAAGACATATTCAAAGGGACGCTGATGAATGTGATGTCTTTGGGTTTAATTGCGGGTCACGACTCTCGTTTTGAGTTTGGATTGCTTCTCTAGGAATGTGTAGTGTGTTTACCTTTATGAGCAGCTTCATGAGTATCCACTGAAGACATGGGATCAAGGTTAATGCTGGTTTGACTTAACATGTGATTTAATTTCATGGTGAGTTTACATTAGTCTGATTCAGATTATCTGGACCAAATTCAATGTATTTTTGTATAGGCCTAAAGCTCAGCAGTAGTTATCTCAGAGGACTTTAGTTGTAAGTAAGTAAGTAGTAATCTTTATTTATACAGCGCTGTCCTGGATTATCACCACTGTCCTTAGATCCTCCTGCATCGGCGAGGAAAAAGTCTAAAAACAATGGAAAAAATGGAGCCCACAAGTCTGGTTGCTTCACAGATCTCTTTCAAAAGACGATATTTGGTGGTTTTACATTGACAAACAAAGCCATTTTTCCCGAATATGAGCAAGAAATTGGTCAGTTCAAGCCCGCAATCTACATTTCACCATGTTATTGTTGTATAATCTGAATTCTGAAACGCTATGGATGACCTTGGTCTGTAAAAAAAATGCCCTATATAAATAAAGATTACCTACTTTCATATTTACCCACGCACAGTCGTCGAGAGGATTGTTGGTTGTAGGTCTGAGCACTGCTGCAGCTGTAAAAAGCCATGCATACTCAGAGAAGAGTGGTAGTCTAGTTACCTCATGTTATATCAGCAGTTATATGAAGTCGTATAGTATGTCGTCCAAGTCAACACACAAAAACAGTGTTATAGTGAGGGACCATTGTATATGAAAAAAGCGGCAAAATCTACGAACTCATTCTTTCACTTCTGGACCCTTTTTTCAACAAATGCCAAATCTCCAGGTTGGATATTCTCTTGTAATTTGTTACTAAATGTAGATTATCTGTTTTTTATTCAGTGTTTATTGCAAACCAAAGCACAATGTGTCTCTGTAAAAACCGAAGCTGTTCTGCCAGACTATAAACGGCCCTTGGATTTGCATTCTTAATTGAGAGTTTGGGGAGTTGATTCGGTGTCCAAAGCGTCTCTGCTTTTTGCCCTGGGACATGTGACTATCACCGGGGCTTTTTTAAGAGCTGGCCCTGGCCGTGATGAGCCAAGATGAAGAGCAGGACATCGATAACAGGAACTGGCGGCGGAGTGGATAATTAGCTTTAAAAGGGAACAAAGGATCAATAGTGTCTTTCTCTTTTCTTTTTTTTTTTTGGTTCACAAGGGAGAGTCATACGGAGGCATCCCAGGTCCGGAGGCTTGTATTCGGGTGACGCAGGGACAACGGCGGGCCCTCATCCATCAGCGGCGACATGGGGGCTGATGGAATGGATATACTGTAATAGGAATGCACTTTTAGCTTTTTTTTCCCCGGGCTGTTCTGCTGATACACTGAGGCGTAGAGCCCTGAAGAGCAACTTTAGCACAAATGTAAGAATATATGGGCTCCAGGGTCGGGGAGAATGTTCATTATTTTGCATTTTCCAGTCGAATGGGCATAAGTTACGTGTTTTGTCCGGGTATTAATTAAAGGAGACATGCTTCAGCCGCTACTGTTATGATATCTGAGACTTTAGGCACAAACAGCTGAGTCCCTTCTGTGTAAATGCTCCGGTTTCAAACTTGTTAGTCTATGATGGATTCTCAGTCCTGGATAGAGCCACTTTCTGCCTTTTGCAACACAATTAGTTTCTTTCAAATGTCTTAAATCAGAATTTTCTTCCACCCACGAGGTAAAGTGATCAACTGAGTTTGTCTGTCTGTAAGCGACATTGTTCAAAATGTTATGGGAGAAATTTGAATTGTCAGGAAACTGTTTTGGAGGTGATCAGAATCATTGTCTGGATGTGGGATTTGTTTAAAGAATTAGAAATGTGTCCTTGACAAAGTGGGTTATGAGATTAAGGGGTATTGGCCTTTGAGCCTGGCGCTTGTGGGTTTGAGTCCACCACGAGACCTTCTCCACCGACTCCCACTGATGTCGGCTGTCATTGCGTCCTTGGGCAAGACACTTAACCCCACTTTGCCTGAAGCCCCTGCTGAAAGATCAGGATTATGTTGTCACTTATTTTTACATCTACCAAACTGCTTATTTCATGGGCTTATTTTCAGCAAGTTTGCACATTGTTTTTTTTTTTACTTCATACTTTCATACCTGAGTTTTATGTTATTGTATTTTCACTATTTGTTACCTGGAATAAGTCTAATAACATTTTGAGTCTTCCTCTCAGTTTTCCACTCGGGCCAGCTTCCGCACAGTGCCTGTTGGCAGAGGTCTGCGCTCTCCAAATCTTGTTTATTTTCCATATTTAGATGGAAGTCCTTTGCTCAACCATCATCCATTGTCTTTATTACAAAAACAGAACAAATGCCACATATTTTGTCTTTAAACCTGGATTCATGGCAACGTTCTCATAATAATACAAACACAGTTATTATAAATAGATTGTGACCTATTCTTTCAAACCTTTTACAACTTTTAAAAACATTCAGAATAACTTTGATCATTTTGGACGTTGCTAAGGAACCACAACCCTAAATAATGCACATAGATATATAGATTCATTCTCTGCATCGCGCAGCTAGCACAGACGCCCGCATGGTTCAAAGTTGGAGGGCGCCAGGTCTGGGTTAGATCAGAATGTATTTTCAGTTCTGGCACGAGTCAAATTGTCGAAAACCTTTGAACAACGATATATAAAGTATAAGAAAAACAAATGAATCCACTGGGGAATTTCAAGGCAGCACCGAGAGTAACCGCAAGTATCTAAGGTATTTGTGGTTCAAATAAGGTTGGATTAAATGCCAGGTATAATGTATTATTTTTAAAATAAAAATTCTATTAAAAGGAAAAGGTTCTATCTGCATTCTGCCTCTGTGATACTAAGGCTCGCAGAAGCATGGAATTGTTTGTCAATGTTATCTGTGTATGCTCCTTCTCAAATTAACCAAATAGCAACCAAACAGCTTGTCAAAACCACATTAACATAACTATCTGTAGAAGTTTGTATTCCGAAAAGCTGCTGTTCAAGGTGGGGACCTTTCAAAGCAGTCAGCTGTGGTGTGTCAGTGTGAATCCAATCTTTGTTCTGATCATAACATCCTTGAAATGTATTTGATTGGACTGAAATTTGGAAGGAAGGTCTATGAGCAGCACCGGAACAAGATTATATCAATGACTTAATGTCAGCAAAAAAAATAATGGATTGGATTGAACCCAAACGGCAGGCAAACACATTAGTTGCTGTACTGTCAAAATGCACAACTCTATACTATGTACATTGTGTGTGTGTGTGTGTGTGTCCGTGTGTGTATGTGTGTGTGAGACGAAGAGAGACTATTGTGTTACCATATCTCTTCAAGCAGATTCCTGTGTTTTATTTTTTTTCACAATTAGAAGAGAGAGAAAAAAAAAATCACCAAACTAACGCGCCAACTTTTAACTCCTCTTTCAGGAGGTGATCCTTGATAAAATCCCAAACAGGAACAAGGTCTTTTGTGTCTGCGAAATGAAAAGCGGGTTTTCATCTTCGTCATGATTTATCTGCAGATCGCGGCTGATGAGTTCCATTGATGCCACGCGCTTGAAAGAAAAACTTGACAAAAAGGAGAAGTGTGGCTCGGACCTGGACTCCACAGTCGCTCTTCAGATAACACTGTTTTTACCTCCCTCCGCCACAAGACGCAACATGGACCCAGTAGTGAGGGAGTAAGTACTATTTACTCATATAGCGCATGTTACAGACCAAAGGTTCGCACAGGTACAGGTCGTTCCCATTCGAGAAGACAGAAGCGAAACCATAAGCGTCCGTTCACTCACTCACTACATTCAGGGCCTTTTGCACATGTTTATAGAGGTAGGGGAGACCGGAGCGCCTGGAGGAAACCTACACAGACAGGGGGAGAACATGCAAACTACACACAGATGTTTGGATGTGGAAGCAAATACTTTCCAGCTATAGCCCCAGAATATTGTAGAAATGTAGTAGAAATGAACAAATCAAATTACTGTATATACTTACTATTTTCAGATCGCAGAAAAAGTATTGTAAAGATTTTTCGTTTACATATTATACAGTACATTCTTTGGGGCGGCACGGTGGCTGAGAGGATAGCACTCTCGCTTCTCAGCAAGAAGGTTCTGGGTTCGAATCCCAGTCGAAACAGGGCATTTCTGAGTGGAGTTTGCATGTTCTCCCCGTGTCTGCGTAGGTTTCCTCCGGGTGCTCCGGTTTCCCCTACCGCTAAAAACCTGCACAATAGCTATGAATGTAAATGAGAGAGTGAATGGATGGTGTTGATTGGAGCTGATGGTCCAGTGTGTTCTGGACTCGCTTCTGTCATCACCGTGTGTGGAAGGATTGGAAAAATATCTGACTCTGAACATTGTAAAGCGCTTTGAGTAACCTTGGTCTGTAAAATGCGCTATATAAATAAACATGACTTACTTACATCGAAAAAAAAATGACAGAAGCAGGTTCTAGATCCTGGTGTTCCTTGCTGATACAGGAGGGTCTAAGTACAGAGTTGATAATCCCTTTAAGGACCAATGTCCCCGCATGTGTTTTCAATCATGGCATTTCTTGAACAGTTTGATTCTCTGATCTGTGTCGGCGAATCGAGGCCTTTGTAAAGTCCTCTGAGATAAACTACCGATGTGCATTTGTTGATGAAATAGTTTGCTGTTCATCAGATTATCATTATTCTATGTTAGCCGTGTTTGCATTGAAGCTAACCCTGTTGAAGTAAAAGAAAGAAGACTAAAACTGAGGCCCCAAAATGAGTCGTTTTTGGGGGAGGCGGAAAATATATCCTCGGGGCAAGCCAGGGTTTAGAGAGGGACGGGGCAGGGAACCATTACCTTTTTACGGAACTGACTCCACTGAACCCACTCTGATTATAAGGTGCAATAAATATATGAATATATAAATAAGGGATATCTTCATCCTCTTCCTCCTTCCACTTCTTTTTCCTCTTCCTCCTTCTCCTTCCCCTTCCTCTTCCTCCTTATCCTTCCCCTTCTCCTTCCTCTTTCCTCTTCCTCCTTCTCCTTCCTCTTTCCCCTTCTCCTTCCTCCTTCCTCCTTCTCCTTCCTCTTCTCCTTCCTCTTCCTCCTTCCTCTTCCTCCTTATCCTTCCCCTTCTCCTTCCTCTTTCCTCTTCCTCCTTCCTCCTTCTCCTTCCCCTTCTCCTTCCTCTTCCTTCTTATCCTTCCCCTTCTCCTTCCTCTTCCTCCTTCTCCTTCCTCTTCCTCCTACGCCTTCCTCTTCCTCCTTATCCTTCCCCTTCCTCCTTCTCCCTCCTTCTTCTTCCTCTTCCTCCTTCCCCTTCCTCTTCCTGATTCTACTTCCTCTAACCCCTTCTCCTTCCTCTTCCTCCTTCTTCCTCTTCATCCTTCTCCTTCCTCTTCCTCCTCATTCTTCTTCCTCCTTCTCCTTCCACTTCTTGAATGTCATTGTTGGTCTTCCTTTGTGGTAAATTTGAACTACTCCACTCTACTGTAGTGATTTAGGTCTATACAAACATGAATATAATTACACACAGCAGCAGCACACCATCATTTAATGGAAATCAACAAAACATGGTCCAATTACACTGAGTGGCAGCTGTCAGACTTTTATCCCGATAATTAGACAAATACGTTTGAACCGGGCTCAGCGTCCAGTGTTTGGATCGGCTTCTTCACGGCCGCCGCTAAAGGTCACTCTCCCTCATCATCACATTGGGAACTGGCCAACTGTGAACGGGCCAAAACACGGCACCATTAGCAGCAGCGTGAGCCTGGTACAATCTGGGTTTAGTTCTGCTGGTCGTTTTTGACTTTAATTAAGCCTCGAATGATCCGGCGATGTCAGGTTGATTCACTTGGCTTTGTCTTTGGCTCCCAGAATCAACTTTGCGATCATCAATGACAAAACATAAGTATCATTGTTTTAAAAAAGCGATACACTGTGCAAATTTTGCTCGCATCGTTTGTCCATGCTCTTTTACAGGTTTTACAGTTCATTTGTTTTCTTCCGCTTCATCTGTTGCCGGGTCGCGGGGGCAGCTGTCGAAGCAGAGACCCCCAGACTTCCCAGACTTCCAAATCTCCACACACCTCCTTCAGTTAATCTGGGGGAATGAGGTGTTCCCAGGCCAGCTTAGAAACACAGTTCTGCTAACGTGTCCTGGGTCTCGGCGAGCCCAGAACACGGTACCAGGGAAGCACCAGTAATTGCTTTACTGGTTGAACCCAAATGGACGTTAATTTGTTTTTTTTTTTATTGCAAACACTCTGCAATGGCTTCTTTGAAACTTCTTATTTAGTTTTGTCTCTGCTGGGCCTGTGTGTGTTTGTATACGTATGTGTATGCGTGTGTGTGCGGGTATACAGTATATATCGTACATGCATTTGTTTGTGTGTGTATATATGCATGTATGTGTGCATACATGTGTGTGTGAGAGTTTGTATATACAGTATGAATGTATGTGTATATATGCATGTATGTATGTGTGTGTAAATATGTATATGTGTGTGTTCATAAATAAATAAGGAATGGTTCAAACTGGTTTTAACTCTATGCTTTTTAAATTTGTTTTTGCTTTTCACTTTGTACCTTTTGTACGGCGACCTTGAGTCCCCAGAAAGATGACACACAAATATTATTATTAAAAAAATTGAAAAAAAACTAACATTAATCTTACAGTCTATATGTAATGTATTCTTCCCATAATCTGGAAATGATTCAGTCGATGAATTCATATTTTTGGATCGACTCCCTCCCTGCCATCGCTTTCGGTCCATTCCACACAGTTTGTATCAGAATCAGTCCATAAAGTATGTTCTCTTTCTCTATTTTCGTCCACACTCTTTTATATAGTGGCCTGAAGTCCCTGAGGGTGATAACGTCAGGAGCCTCACGGTCCTCTTAACAACAGGTCAAACTTTTACTGCAAAGTGGAAAAGCCAAGTTTACAATGTCCCCTCGTCCTCCTCTATCTCCCATCTCACCGAGAAGCTCCACACATACATGGCGAGTCGGATTTTCTCGGCGCTAATGGTTTAATTTTGGCGTAATTCAATAAGCGGCGCGTCCCATGGTACCTTACACATTTATATGGAGTCTATAATAGCGCCCTGACAGTTAGATGAGTTGGGGGCTCTCTTGTGGATTCATTTGGTGCTAATTCTCTCCTGTTAACACATTTTACCATACTAAATGAGATCTAATGCGCACTGATGACTTGTTCCCCGGCGTTAGCCACAATTTGCAGCCTCAAGCCAGGTGCATACTGATCGCACGGGCCGCAGAAGAAATAACAATACAATAGAAAGAATAAAAGAAAGTAAAGAAAAAAAACTGCAGCTTTGTGAGAAATATGTTTGTTGAATTAGTCCATGTTGCACTGGTATAAAAAAAAACTCCCTTTTACAAAAACAAGTGAAAAACATGTGAAAATATGTTAAAAAAACGAATAAAATATGAATAAAATATGACTTTGCACGATTTCTGAGAATAAGAACATACTACTTGTGAGTCACCTGTGAGTCACTGTTTGACATTTTGGGGTGGGCAATGATTGGCTGAGCAAAGGGTGGTGTGAGAAAAATCTGTAAAGATGAGACAGAGGCAAAAATACATGAATGTGAAAGTTAGGGATATTATAGAGCGCCAAAAAGGTCATAATTTCTTGAATCGAGTGTTTTTTTTTTATCTTAATCTGACACATTCTGACTGTGTTAAAACATGATTCTCCATTTCGACAAAACCATTTCATCTTATTTCTACAACTGTCGCTTTATTTTCTCATCCCAAGGGAGACATTTATTGTATCTTTTTCAAAACAAGATATTTTTTCTTGTCCTTCTTGTTTTAATCTTGTTTTAAGGCACTCAGAATGTTCTCAAATTAAGATACATTATACCAAACTTGAGTTATTTTCCACTTATTTTGTATCATTTTTTGCAGTGTACCAAGCTCTTTTGAGAGTGATAAACAAAAATGACTGAATGAAATGCTTTGGCAGCCCTGTTCTACTAAATATATCCTTTTAAGTTTAGGCCAGTTCAAATGGATATACCCTACAGATTACAACACACAAAATACACACATTTTTCAACGTTCAAAGCCTCTGTTTGGATGGGAATGAGTCGTTTCCGGTATGTGTTTATAATATTCTCTGCTTCTCCCGCCATCACAAGTGACGTCCCTACATTTCTCTCAATTTCATTCACTTTGCGTTTTACTATTTACTCCCTGTCTTTACGGAAAACTGAAAATAGCTTTGTGGGTGTGAAGACATTGCTTGAAAGTGTAAAGTGGGATGCCAATGCTGCTAAAAGCGGTTCCACGCTGTCGAGACGTCATCCGAACGTGCTACTTTTTCTCCCAAAATAACCTCCACTTGTGAACGACAGACATTGGGCTTGATTTACGTTCTTTCTGGCATCGTGGTTGTAATAATAAAACAAAAAAATGCAAGTCAAGGCAAGTGCTTTGAATAATTCAGGCTTTGTTGCACGTCTGTTTCGAGATGCAAGCTGTGTATTTATCAGAATTCTTGCTTCGTGTGCGGTTGATCTGAGCTCGGGATGACGCACACGGAGCGAGATGTGGAAATGGTTGAAGCACTATGACTAACAAGTGCAACATTCTCTGGGCAAAGCCGGCTGCCCACCGCTCGGAATGACCCAAAAACATTTACTTTCTCTGCTGGTTCAGCCGTCGATCCAAGTCATAGATCAAAGCTCGTGGACCATGGACGTCACAACCCCTGATACCTTGCTGTGTGGAAAATTGTGGTGTTTTGTGCCTGTGATCTTTTATCTATGCTAATTTACATATTTTACCACACGCTACATGCTACTCCGTTTTGTTACGTCTTTGTGATGGTGTGTTTCTGTGTGTTTGTGTCTGTTCTGTGTCCTTTTTTATCTCGATATCAAGCAGCCATGGAACTACGGATGAAAATTAGCCTACATGCTAATGGTTAGCTTTGGCACAAATTAGAACTGTTTGGATTATGAGTTTGGACGGGTTTGATTGTTTGTAAAAAGGGTTTGTTTGTGGTTTCAAAGTCTAATCCGTCAGAAGACTCTAAAAAACCATGGTCTTTTCCAATATTTCTGCTACAGCTGCATTACTGTCAGATAACACATGTTTATTGTTTGGCATACTTTTTTTTACATGTTGATTAATGTGCACTGTCCCACTTCAAATAAAGATTAGGGAAAAAGGCTTGTGGTTTATTAAGGACCATATGCACTGTATGGTTTGTGAGGGTTGAGAGAGCTTTCGATGTACGTACAGTATGCTCGCAACTCAGCCACACGGTGATGACTTTATTCTGAAACATGAGGAACGTGAGGACTGAAAAATTCTCCCCGTTTAGATAGAATTTTATGGAATCCTCTCCCCAATTTTTTTACCTTTACTTGCTTTTACTGAACGCTCAAATTGGTGAATGTGACGGAAATACAGAATATCAATCCTGAATGCTAACTGCTGACGGTGTAACCATGTGTTGCTATGGTAACTAGGACTGGGGAAAAAACAAACCGAACCAGAACCAGAACCAGTCCCTTGAAACAGGGGCTGCAGAATGTTGCCTGCAAAGCGACCGGAAATGGACACATTAAACATTTTTTGGCAGAACTATACTCAAATAAAAAAACGAAAAGATAAAAAAAACGAAAATGATGACACTACACATACACTGCAAAAAAAATCCCTTGATAATATAAGAAAACAATAGATAGAAATAGGTAAAATACTGCTTCAAATAATACAAATGATCTGCCAATTGAGTTACAAGAATTCTGACAATAAGAAAAGAGTACTTTGTATACTTTACGTGTAAAGTAAAGTGGTCCAAACAAATATTTGACTCCATGCCACATTTCTTCCACACATTCTGAACCCAACAAACCCAAGGCACAAGATACTTTTTTTGTTTTTGTTTTGCCCTTTGTCCAACGGCCGCCTTCATCCTACATTTCCCATTGAACCAGGCCTGTCGCCGTTGCCTCCGCTCTCACCGTGGGGCAGAGTGCGCTGAAGTGTCTTGACGTCACCGCTGCTGTGAAAGCCCTCGTGGAGCCAGGCTTTAAACACCGCCGCCCACACGGTGCCAACTTCAGCCGCGCTATTGTCCAAACACACGCCAACCGTCACTCGCTCCCTGCTCTCCCTGCTCTCTCCGGCAAAACAGTACTTTTCCCATCACCGGCAGGACGTGGACCAGGGGCGAAAGCAAGTAAAGATAGATGGAGTTCCAAAAGAGGGAAGTTGTTAAAGAGAATACTGCATTATGTGTGGATAGTTTTATATGTAGGATCAAACTGGTCTCTTTTCAAGACGTAGTAGTAGTAGTAGTAGTAGTAGTAGTAGTAGTGGTAGTGGTAATGGTAGTAGTGGTAGTAGTAGTAGTTGCAGTAGTAATTGTAGTAGTGGTAGTGGTAGTAGTAGTAGTAGTAGTAGTAGTAGTAGTAGTAGTGGTAGTAGTAGTAAGTAGTGGTAGTAGTTGTAGTGGTAGTAGTTGTAGTTGTAGTAGTAGTAGTGGTAGTAGTAGCAGTAGTAGTAGCAGTAGTAGTGGTAGTAGTAGTAGTAGTAGTAGTAGTAGTGGTGGTAGTAGTAGTAGTAGTAGTAGTAGTAGTGGTGGTAGTAGTTGTAGTAGTAGTAGTGGTAGTAGTAGTAAGTAGTGGTAGTAGTTGTAGTTGTAGTAGTAGTAGTGGTAGTAGTAGCAGTAGTTGTAGCAGTAGTAGTGGTAGTAGTAGTAGTAGTAGTAGTAGTAGTGGTGGTAGTAGTTGTAGTAGTAGTAGTTGTAGTAGTTGTAGTTGTAATAGTAGTAGTAGTGGTAGTAGTAGTAGTAGTAGTGGTGGTAGTAGTTGTAGTAGTAGTAGTTGTAGTAGTTGTAGTTGTAATAGTAGTAGTAGTGGTAGTAGTAGTAGTGGTAGTAGTAGTAGTAAGTAGTATATTTCAAAGTAAACTGCAAACAAGATACAAAATACACATAAATAACCCAGACGCTTATTTAGCTTCAACACAACACAACACGCTCGACACACTCGACACAAGCACAACACAACCCAAGACACAGGCCCAAACGCTCTCTGACCACACACCTGGATGCATTATGTACTGTATGTTCACTTTTTCTTCTGTCAAATGCGTTTCCTTTTGGGCGTGCTGTACCGAGGAAAGTCAAAGCCGGTGTGTGTGGCTTTTAGAGTTGCGTACATGTTGTTGCCTCTGCAGAAAGAGAGAAAAACACAACACTTTATGCAAATATTCGAACATTTTGATCTTGACTATGACTCTCTGAAATAGTCAGATGGAGGCCAAACATGCAAGTGTGTGAAAAGTATTGAAAGAACCAAACTGTTTGGACGGGTTTCATTTAGTTTGTGGTTTCAAATGCCAATGTATGATTCAATAAATATAGATAGAGAGACTAACAAGCATCATGTGTATATAAAAGTATTGATGTTATTACCTTGACTTACTGTTGTCCATAGAATAATAAAAATAATAATGCATTGGTTTTATAGAGCGCTTTTTTACACACTCAAAGACGCTTTAGATGTCATTATTAATTCTCTCCATACACAGTGGTGACAAAGTATTAAATGTAGTTACAGCCCTTCAGGCAAAGTGGGGTTAAGTGTCTTGCCCAAGGACACAACGACAGCAGTCATCAGTGGGAGTCGTGAAGTAGGTCTCGTGGTGGGCTCGAACCCACAACTGACAGAAGCGAGGCAACCAGTATTCACACACACACACCAGACTGAGGACACAGCAGCAGTTTGGCACTTTACAGCCCCACTGTGGCATCAGGTGTTCCCAGAGGTTAAGTGTCTTACCCAAGGACACAACGACAGCAGACAGTGGGAGTTGATGGTGAAAGTCTTGAGGTGAGCTCGAACCCACAACCTTCTAGCTCAAAGGCCAATGCTCTACCAACTGAGCTAGACGCAAGACGAACCTTCCTAAACTCTCACGTCCAGTAAATTTGCAAAAATAGATAAACAGAAATTTGCAAAAACAGATTAATATTTGAGAGGCATACTTGTTACAGAGAGGGACTCAGACGCGCACACATAGACACATGCACAAGGAGAGACTCAGACAGACACTGACACACACAGACAGACTTATACACACATACTCACACACAGAATTCCCTACCAACTGAGCCACTGTCGCCCCATAAGTCACATAATATGGAAAAAAAAAATATATAATCTGAACAAATATCTCTAGAATTGCTGAGAAGAGTCTTCCACTGACAACATTAGCTGAACACAGGCGCACACACACACACCCACACACACACACACACACACCCACACCCCCACACCCCCACACCCCCACACCCACACCCACACACACCCACACACCCACACACACACACGTACTCAGGACTACACTGGACATTTTGGGGACTTCGGACACATCTCTGTCAAAACACTTTATCATTTCTCATCACATAAAAATGCATTTACGAATGAAAGTAACGCTCCTCGAGACAGAAAGCTATCCGTCACCCGATCCGAAAACCCCTGACTTGGCTCGGGTAGCGTCGTTGTTAATATTAATACAAAAATAATAATGACAAAATCTTAAGGAGTTGCAGGCTATGTTAGGCTCGCGATGAATGACTAGACTTTTTTTTTTTCATCAGGCGAAAGTGAACTGCATCAGACGGGAAAGTCAAGGCCCAGGCTCCACACGCTGAAGGAAGTCATATATCAGAGGGCTGTAGTTTTGGCTGGACACTCTCTCTCTCTCTCTCTCTCTCTCTCTCTCTCTCTCTCTCTCTCTCTCTCTCTCTCTCTCTCTCTCTCTCTTTCTCTCTCACTCTCTCTCTCAGCTTGTCTCTGGTCTCTCTCTCTCTCTCTCTCTCTCTCTCTCTCTCTCTCTCTCTCTCTCTCTCTCTCTCTCTCTCTCTCTCTCTCTCTCTCTCTCTGCTTGTTTCAGGGCTCTCTCACCGCTTGTCTCTGATCTCTCTCTGTCTCTGGTCTCTCACTCTCTCTCTCTCAGCTTGTCTCTGGTCTCTCTCTCTCTCTCTCTCTCTCTCTCTCCCCCTCTCTCTGTCTCTCCTCCTCTCTCTCAGTTATCAAAGTGCAGAGGCCTCTGTGGATCCGGATCAGTGACCTCGGCCCGTGTGAACAGAACACAGGCCTAGACTCGGGCACGGTCGCTTAAAGTTCTAAAGGTCTTGTTTCTCTATATGACGTTTTTCTCTCCATTTGTTTGCCAACGTTTGTTATTTGCGACCTTGGAGCGAAAAGTGGAAGCAGCAGAAGAGTGGGGGGGCGGCCATCTTGGTATACAGGAGATGAGAATAGACAGTTGTACAGTATTTTTAATTCTTTGTGAGCACTATATTATAATTTTTGAATGAGAAGGCATTGGTAGCAGCTGTATGAAGGCATGTATTGTCAAATAAACATGTTTTCTCCATCCCCCGGTTCTCTATCCCCTTTAATGTCGATGAAAGCTTGGAATCTTTTCATGGTATTTGTGGATGAGGCTCTTTATCCTCTCATGGTAAAGCTGCCCATTCTTCTTGGCATCTACTTTCTGTCATTTCTCAGGCTGGTGTGCAAGAACTGGACATTTAAGATCTCCCTCAAAGAGACTCAATGCTGTTAGAGAAGACTTCACACAGTATCGGGATTGGACCATGTATGGCGTCACACAACCACTGACAAATTTGTGTTCTCTTTCGTATTTGCAATTTTCATGTATTTTTGAATGCTTTGAATGCTGTCAGTATAACTAGCTTTGTTATACAACGCAATTTCTTAGGGACACACACGCAAAGAGGGACTCAGACGCGCACACATAGACACATGCACAAGGAGAGACTCAGACAGACACTGACACACACAGACAGACTTATACACACATACTCACACACAGAAAGAGACTCAGACACACATAGACACACAGACGCACAAGGACAGACTCAGACAGACACTGACATACACAGACAGACTTTTACACACAGACTCACACACACACAGAAAGAGACTCAGACAAACACACATAGACACACAAACGCAGACGCACAAGGAGGGACTCAGACAGACACACAGACACAGACGCACAAGGAGAGACTCAGACACACACACACGCACAAGGAGAGAATCAGACAGACACTTACAGACGCACAAGCAGAGATTCAGACAGACACACACACACACGCACAAGGAGAGACTCAACCAGACACAGACAGACATACACACAATGTCTGTCAAATCACACAAAAAGAGACTCAGACAGATGGACGCACTCACACACACACACAAAAAGAGAGACTCAGACAGACACTCACACACACACACACACACACAAAGACTCAGACAGACACACACTCAAATAGAAACTCAGACGGACAGAAACACACACACACACACAAAGAGAGACTCAGACAGACACTCACACACACACACACAAAGACTCAGACAGACACACACTCAAATAGAAACTCAGACGGACAGAAACACACACACACACACACACACACAAAGAGAGACTCAGACAGACACTCACACACACACACACACACACAGACTCAGACAGACACACACTCAAATAGAGACTCAGACGGACAGAAACACACACACAAAGAGAGACTCAGACAGATGGACGCACACATACACACGCACAAAAGTAGAAACTCAGACAGAGGGACGCACACACACACACACACAAAAAGAGAGACTCAGACAGACACACACTCAAATAGAAACTCAGACGGACAGAAACACACACACAAAGAGAGACTCAGACAGACAGACAGACACACACACACACAAAGAGAGACTCAGACAGACAGACAGACACACACACACAAAGAGAGACTCAGACAGACACACACACTCAAATAGAGACTCAGACGGACAGACACACACACACACAAAGAGAGACTCAGACAGACAGACAAACAACACACAAAGAGAGACTCAGACAGATGAACACACACAGCCAAATTGTTATGGTTGTACTTTAAAATCCCCCATTATAATAATACATTTTTGTCAACATTCATCTCAAAAATCATGTTTTAAACTTCGACAATTACCAAGTATTGTCTCATTCGTGAGAAAGTCTATTTTTTCCTTGGGACCAAACATAGAAAAATTGGTAACGCCAAAAAAGTAAACCCCAAAAACCAGTTTAAGACCTGTGTTTTATTTTGATATATACATAATAACAGTATCCTAAGATCTTGACCTTTTTTCTATCCCATTGTCTGTTTTCCACTAATTATAGTATTTTTCTTTGGGTAAAAACACAGAAATTATGGCTTCCTTTCTTTTCCTTATTTCAGTTCACATTGTACGACCGGCATTATGATCCATTTTCTTATTCAAGCCTGGCCCGTGTGAGTGATAATCCAACATCCTTACGCTGAGATTCAGAGCTCATGGTTTGGAAAGAAATCAAGCAAAGGATAGAGAGAAAACATAAAGATTACCATGTGTCTTTGTTTGCGGCAAAGGAGAAAAGTGGACGTTAAAGCAGGGTGAGTCATGGAGAGAGTGTGTGTGTGTGTGTGTGTTATAAAAAAAGAGAGTTGATTCATGAACTGAAAAAATCCTATCAAAAACACATAGACTGAATGCAAACAAAGCCTGGACAAAAGGCAAAATGCACTTCAAAAATGATGGAAAATAAGTAAAAAATTGCTAAAATTTGGCAAAACATATCTGAATTCTCTCTGAGGTTTAATGTATTTTATTGTCTTTTTTTGTACTGTTTTGTATCTTTTAAGTCTATGCTATGTTTGTATGTTTGTATGTTTGTATTATTGCGAGAAAGGGACGATGCACAGTTTCCTTTGGGATCAATAAATCTATCTCTATCTGAATTTGAGCACATTCTGACTGAGCCTTAAAAATTATCTTATTTTAAAAAAGATACAAGAAATGTCTCCCTCGGAATGAAGAAAATAAAGAAATGGTTATTGAAATAAGACTAAATGGATTTGCCCAATTGGAGAATCTTTTTTTAAAGTAGACACATGTGAGATGTTCGTGTCAAGTCATCATTAAAGGGCCCTAATCTGTCAAAAGGCATTCATAAAACATGTTCTTTTTCAATACTTCTTTAACTGATAACAATAGATTCCAAAACTTTTCCAGCCCCTAAATGTTGTTATTGTTTTCATTTCGATGTCCCGCCCTCCACCGTTTCACCAATCAGAAAGTCTGTGATCCGGGCGCCAGAAATCACTGCGTCAAGCTAATCTCACTGGTAAAGTACCATGTGGCGCAGAACTAAAAAGATCTCGTTATGATTCTCAAATTATTAACGACAAAACACGGAATAAAACCAGGATTTCAGGGTCTTTGTGGAAAATGTATTGTTGTTCTGTTTAGTTATTAGGGTCCCGTCTGCATATCTGGCAACCTGTTCCATACTTCACCTTTGACAGAGTCAGAATGAACTCAAATTTAGATAAAACAAATATATATACACTACATTCAAGCAATTATTACCTACTATTTTACCATTTTTGCAGTGAAGAAAAATAATTTAATCCAGTTTGATGGACAAATTTTGTATAGGTAATTTGATTGACACTTATTCTATTCCCTGTCACCATACGGGAGGATCTCAGTCTCAAAATAACACATTTTCTCAACCCAAATAATAATAAGGCCTTGAAGACAAATTGAACACGAGCTGATCACTGACATTTAAGGCCGAGGCGAAACTCGGTCGCAACGAAACGCAGCCATGTCGAAAATTACCGCACACAACCTTTCCCAGACAAAAATATCAAAGTTTACAAGACAGCCCCGGAATTAGAGAGAGAGGCAGAGAGAGAGAGAGAGGGGGGGGGGGGGGGGGGGGGGGGGAGGGGGAGAGAGAGAGAGAGTGGGAGAGAGACATACAGACAGAGAGAGGCAGAGAGAGAGAGAGAAAGAGACAGACAGACAGGGACACAGACTGACACACAGACAGAGAGAGAGAGAGAGAGAGGCAGAGAGAGAGAGAGGCAGAGAGAGAGAGAGAGAGAGAGGGGGGGATAGGGGGAGAGAGAGAGAGAGGGGGAGAGAGACATACAGACAGACAGAGAGAGGCAGAGAGAGAGAGAGAAAGAGACAGACAGACAGGGACACAGACTGACACACAGACAGAGAGAGAGAGAGAGAGAGAGAGAGAGACAGACAGAAAGAGAGGGAGAGAGAGAGACAGACAGACAGAAAGAGAGGGAGAGAGAGAGACAGACAGACAGAGAGAGAAAGAGAGGGAGAGAGAGAGACAGACAGACAGAAAGAGAGGGAGAGAGAGAGACAGACAGACAGAGAGAGAAAGAGAGGGAGAGAGAGAGACAGACAGACAGAAAGAGAGGGAGAGAGAGAGACAGACAGACAGACAGACAGAGAGAGAAAGAGAGGGAGAGAGAGAGAGACAGAGAGAGAGGCAGAGAGCAAGAGACAGAGACAGGCAGCGAAACAGACTGACAGACAGAGAGAGACAGACCGAAGGAGACAGACAAAAAAAGACAGGCAGGGACACAGACTGACACACAGACAAAGAGGCAGAGAGAGAGACGCAGAGTAACAGAGAGAGACAGACACACAGTGAGAGAGAGAGAGACACACAAAGTGAAAGAGAGAGAGAGAGAGAGACAGAGAGGGAGACAGAGAGTGAGGAAGAGAGAGAGAGACAGAGACACAGACCGACGAAGAGAATATGTCACGAATGACGTCATATCTAAGTGTGCAGCGGGTGATTTGATGCAGAGGATCATATTGTAAAGGTGAAAAAATAGAGTTACTAAAATGGACCCAATTCCGATCGGTAATTAAAACTCAGCGGCTGTCGGGATGGGGGGGGGGGGGGGGGCTAAGGGGGTTATAACCAGTTGATGAAGATCCGAGTTTTTCCTACATGCCTGAAGGAATTCTATTAAGCACTGCTGATTAAAGCAATCATCGGAGCCATCGGCGCCTGTCAGATGCCATCCCTGCCCCGGCAATTACCCACGTCTCCTTGAACTCAATCCAGGGCCTCGTACGGGAGGAGGGGGGTGGGGTTTGGGGTGGGGGGATTGGACGTGGGACGGAAGAGCAGACGTGAAGGGGGGAGAGGCATGTGAGACCTGTCGACTTCACTGTCAGTGGTGGGAGTAGCGCTCGGTGTCAGTGGAAGTGTGGACGCAGAAGCATGGATGTGTATTTTACCAAACTGCGCCATATAAATAATCTGAATTTCTGACTTTTACAATGAGTCGGCTACAGTCGTCTGGATGAGATGAATCGTTCTGAAGTGGTTCTTTGAGTTTGATATTTTTTCTATGGGGTTTTACTGCTACTGCAACTGCTACTTCTGCTACTGCTACTGCTACTACTGCTATTACTAAAGCTACTGCTGCTACTGCTACTACTAATGCTATTGTTACTGCTACTACTGCTATTACTAAAGCTACTGCTGCTACTGCTACTACTAATGCTACTGCTACTGCTACTACTGCTATTACTAAAGCTACTGCTGCTACTGCTACTACTAATGCTACTGTTACTGCTACTACTGCTATTACTAAAGCTACTGCTGCTACTGCTACTACTAATGCTACTGTTACTGCTACTACTGCTATTACTAAAGCTACTACTGCTACTGCTAATGCTACTGCTACTGCTATTACTAAAGCTACTGCTGCTACTGCTACTGCTACTACTGCTATTACTAAAGCTACTTCTGCTACTGCTATTACTAAAGCTATACTGCTGCTACTGCTACTACTAATGTCAAACATAGATTTTAGCCTGGGACTCCAAATCTAAAGCCAGTTTTATTTGTGTGTAGTGTTTTTAGTGTGACCTTGTTTTTATATACTGACTTTGGCTTGAGCCTGGGACAGTCCTGATTGATAGCCCTCCCCCTTATGATTGATTGGTCGGACTGGAGGACTTTCCCCTTTTTAAAACCCGGACAGAGGGACTGAAGGGGGGAAGGAAATCGGAAGCGTTACGGGGGACGAGGACAGAGGACAAGGGGAAACAAGGACCAGCACGCACCAGGACCAGCACGCACGCGGAGCAGCACGCACGCGGAGCAGCACGCACGAGGAGCAGCACGCACGCGGAGCAGCACGCACGAGGAGCAGCACGCACGCGGAGCAGCACGCACGCGGAGCAGCACGCACGAGGAGCAGCACGCCCCAAGGAGAGACCTGCAGAGCCCACATACAACGCCCCGTAAAGCTGAGTATACAGGGACGTGATCAAGCAGCCTCAGTTGGTGTGTGTGCGTGCGCGTGAGACCGGAGCGTGATTGCCCACTCTCTCCGCAGCTGCATTGGCGTGGCGCATCAGGCCCCAGCCCAAGGAGCAGCGGACCCGGCCCAGCGGAGCAGCGGACCCGGCCCAGCGGAGCAGCGGACCCGGCCCAGCGGATCCAGCTCAGGGGAGCACTGTATATAACGCCAGACGAGCTGAGTACTTACAGGGACGTGAACAAGCTGCCCCAGACTCTGTGTGTGTGTGCGTGCGCGTGAGACCGGCGCCTGATTGCTTGCTCTCTCAGCAGCTACCCTGGTGTGGCGCACCAAGCCCCAGTGGAGCAGCAGACCCGGCCCAGCAGAGCGGAGCAGTGCGCCAGGCCCAGCCCGAGCCCCAGCAGAGCGGAGCAGCGCGCGCCAGGCCCAGCCCGAGCCCCAGCAGAGCGGAGCAGCGCGCGCCAGGCCTAGCAGAGAGCGGCCCCAGCAGAGAGCGGCCCCAGCAGAGAGCGGCCCCAGCAGAGAGCGGCCCCCTTAACCTTTTATTTTGACCAGACCTTAAGACCCTTAGTCTTATTTTAACTCTTAATTGGCCATTTTAATTAGCGCCATAGGGCATTTTATAATCATATTTATTAATAAAAGTATCTGAAGTCTAAGCCTGTTTATATTCATTTTTAAACAGTTATTGGTTGTTCCACACCTGACACAATTTGGCGTTGCTTGGCAGGACAACCAAAAAAAAAACTGTTTGAGAATGAATTCAGGCCAGCAAGGTACGGGCCCGGCCATTACAGCCCAATTTACGATGCCATGGTTTATGGGGGCCGCCTTTATCCCAAAGTTTGACGGCGAGACCAACAAATTCGAACCATGGAAAGCTCAAATAGAAGCTATGCTGAGAGCACAAGGACTGGGCATACAACAAGCAGCAGATTTCATTCTGTCAGCCCTTGAAGGAGATGCCAAGAGAGAGCTGCTTCTCATCAGTCACAGAGAGAAGAATTCCAGCCAAAAGGTATTTGATCTATTACAATCGCTTTATGCAAAACCAGTAAGCAAAGCTCAATTGCGAAGCCATTTTTTTAACTGTAAACAAAGAAATGATGAAGGTGTAGACGCTTACATCTTACGCCTCCGTGAGCAGTTTAAGAAATGGCAAGAACAGGATGGGGCGGAGGCTGCAGACGAGGACGATTTGCTGCTTGACCAATTAATGGTAGGTTTAAAAAAGGGCCCCATTAAACAAGAACTGAGCAGGCAAATGCGCCGAGAGGGACATATGACTTTTAAAAATGCTTGTAAAGAGGTTAGGGCACTGGCATCTGAGTACGATGAAGATGCTTTACAGTCTAATAGGGTAACTTACGCTCCACAACAAAGAGTAAATTTTGACCATGAACATTTAAAGACTCTGATAAAGGCTGAGCTGAAGGAAGAACTTTTTAAGGACATTAAAATCGAGATGGAAGAACAACTTAAAACTCTCTCTTCTGGCCTTATATCAGAAATTAAGGCACAATTTTCCAACCACCAACAGTCTGCTGGGACTCCAACTGGCCAAAGAGCAAGACCCCAAAGCCGGTCTGTAGGCACACCCTTTAAGTGGGACCCAGAGGGTAGGCCCATTTGTGTGAACTGTGGGGGGGCTGGACACACTCAGCGGTGGTGTCCCCAGAGGCTTCAGAGGTCTCAGGATTTTTGACTCTCCCTGCTGCTGAGGGCCAAGCAGTGGGGGCAGTTCAGTTGGGGGCAGAACCTGAAGCCAGTGCTCCACCGGCCTCAAAGTCTGCCCTAATTGGTGAGTGCCCTGATGTTTTGATTAAGATTAATAACCAGACTATCCCTTTTGTTCTAGACACGGGATCCCAGGTCACCTTGGTCAACCAGACAATGTTCGAAAAATACCTTAAAGGCACAGGTGTGAGTAGTGCAGACACTGTGCCATGGCTGACTCTCCAGGCCGCAAACGGGTTAGAAATCCCATACATTGGCTATGCCATTGTGGACTGTGTGATAGGAAGTATGGTGGTACCAGGGAAAGGCATAGTTATTGTGAAGGATTATTGTCTAGGCCCAAATAAGGGGATATTGGGAATGAACATAATCAGGTCAGTCTGGTCCACTCTCACACAGGGCAGCCACCCGGGTCTCCTGGCATTCCAGACCACCATGCCAACAACGGAGGGGAGAGTCTGGTCCAGAGCCTTTGTTGACTGCCAGCGGGTCACAGCCAGGTCACGCTACGAAGGAGTCGCTAAGCTGCCACACCAGTCCCCAGTCGTCATTCCACCACAATCTGAAATCGTGTTGTGGATGCAGGTAACAAACAGCCCCCCTAATTCGTCTTGTGATGTTCTTCTAGAACCCGTATCGGACGGCGAGTGTGAGTGGCAAGTTGGAAGGACCTTAGCAACCGTGACTGGGGGAAGCGTTCCGTGCCGGGTCTGTAACCCTAATCCATACCCGGTGGAAGTACCCCAGCGGCGGCCCCTTGCCAGAGTCACTGAAATAGATGGCGCTGACGTACAGGGACAGAATGAGCTGGTGCTTAACCCGGTGGCCCCTGACGTAGTGGAAGTAGCTGTGAGGCATGTGGGAACGGCGGTCACACAAGATGAGGCCCCCCACCCAGTCCTGACACTTCAGGGTGAAGGCCTTACGCCTGAACAGCAAGACAAAATGACACAAATGCTAAATGCATGGAGACATGTATTCTCCTCTCATGAGGAGGATTTTGGACGGACGGGGGTGATAAAACATCAAATCCCCACCGGTTCTGCTGCCCCCAGCCGTGAACGGTACCGCCCAGTTCCACCTAGCCTGTACAAGGAACTTCAGACCCTCCTTAAGAATATGCTGGACAGCGGAGTGGTAAAAGAGAGCTCCAGCCCATGGGCAGCCCCAATTGTATTGGTGCGCAAAAAGGATGACAGCTGGAGGTTCTGCGTCGACTATAGGAGGCTCAACGCCCTCACCCACAAAGACGCATATCCCCTGCCTCGCATTGAAGAGTCGCTCACCGGGCTAAAAGCAGCCAGGTGGTACTCTACACTGGATTTGGCAAGTGGATACTGGCAGGTGGAGGTGGATGCTGCAGATCAGGAGAAGACTGCATTCACGACCCCGTTTGGACTGTACGAGTTCGAGCGGATGCCGTTTGGACTATGCAATGCCCCTGCCACCTTTCAGTGGCTCATGCAGCGGTGCCTGGGTAACCTTGTTAATGACTTTCTCCTAATCTACCTTGATGATGTCGTGGTGTTTTCCCCAGATTTTCAGAGCCACATGCAGCACCTGGAGGACGTTTTCCAAAGGTTGAACCAACATGGCCTCAAACTACAACCCAAGAAGTGCCACCTGTTCAGACGACACGTAACCTATTTGGGCCACGTTATCAGTGAGAACGGGGTGGCTACTGACCCAGCCAAGACTGACGCTGTTCGAGACTGGCCCATACCACAAACAGTAAGGCAAGTAAAGTCATTTCTGGGCTTTGCAGGATACTACCGCAGGTTTATCCCGGGCTTTTCAAAGATTGCTAGGCCTCTCCATGCCCTGACCCGTAACACTGCGTTAGAGAGGAAATCCACACAGGTGGTGTGGACTAATGAATGCCAAGAAGCTTTCGATTCCCTTAAACTTGCCCTGCTGGACGCTCCCATTTTGGCATACGCAGACTTTACTCAGCCATTTAGGTTGTATACCGATGCAAGTTTTGATGGGCTCGGGGCAGTGCTAGCCCAAATCCAGGATGGGAAGGAAAGGGTAGTTGCTTATGCCAGCAGAAGTCTCCAAGCCTCTGAACGAAATGACCAAAACTATAGTTCTTTTAAATTGGAACTGCTGGCCTTGAAGTGGGCGGTAACTGAAAAGTTCAAGGATTATCTGTACGGGTCAGAGTTCACAATCTTCACTGACAATAACCCCCTGGTGCATCTCGAGACTGCGCGCCTAGGGGCCACTGAACAGAGATGGGTGGCCCAGTTGGCCAACTTCAGGTATACAATCAAATACCGCCCAGGCACAGAGAATAAAAATGCTGATGCACTTTCCAGGCTCCATGAAAAGAGGCCAGAGGAAGCACTTGTACAAGGTGTGGGTGCTGTGGTCTCCAATGAGGGAACCTGGGAGGAGTACCAGAGCGAAGATTCAGATCTTGCCCAGCTTCTGCAGTGGAAAACACTCGGACCCCTTAAGCCTGAGGTACGTGGACACTTTTCCCCCTACTTACATGGGCTGATAAGGGACTGGGATAGGATTAAAGTGAAAGGGGGTGTGCTGGTGAGAGAGTGGGAAGAGGGAGGCTCCGAACTCATGTTGTCCCAAGTTCTGGTCCCAAAACGGAAAGCTCAAGATGTGTGGAAAAACTATCACGAGGGGATGGGACACCCAAGTTGCGAACGGACTTTAGCTATTGTAAGACAGCGTTGTTACTGGCCAGGAATGGCCCGGGACATTAAGGGCTGGACAAAATCATGTCACCAGTGTGTCTGCAATAGAGCTGGCCCCTCCGGAAGGGCCCCACTGCACCCAGTTAGCACCTCATATCCTTTTGAGGTTGTAGGCATAGACTATTTGTCCCTTGGGCGCCCAGACGATCGCTACCAATATATACTTGTGATGACTGATCTATTTTCAAAGTATGCTGTTGCAGTGCCCACAAAGGACCAGTCAGCTGAGACTACAGTGAAAGCCCTTTACACTCACCTGATCCACACGTTCGGCTGTCCGGAACGTATATTGTCCGATCGTGGGGCTGCCTTTGAATCTGCACTCATGGCCCAGCTCTGCCAACTCTACGGGTGTAAGAAGAGCCGCACTACAGCATATCATCCGCAAGGTAACGGGGCTTGCGAAAGATTCAACCAAACACTAATAAGACTCTTGAGCTCCCTGACAGAAACTCGGCAGACCCAATGGCCCACTAGCCTCCCCACACTGGTGCAAGCCTATAACAATACAGTGCACAGTACTACAGGGATTACGCCACACTACCTGGTATTTGGACGACACGCGAGGCTCCCTGTAGACTGGATGACTGGCTTGGGAACCACCGGAGAGAACCACACTCTAGACGGATGGGTAAAACAACACCATGAGGCCCTAAATCTTGCGTACCAGACAGCAAAGGCACAGTCCAGACGCAGGAGGGAGCAAGATGAGGGCCGGTATAATCTTAAAGCCAGACTTGGACCACTACTACCAGGTGAGCGTGTCCTAATCCGTGTCTTCCGCAAGGGGTCGAGGGGAAAGCTAACACCAAAATGGGGCCCGGAGCCATTTGTGGTGGTGAGGAGGCTCCAGGAAGACCACCCGACCTACATGGTTCGACCGGAGGGGAGAGAAGCACCTAGCCGTACGGTTCACCGGAATAACCTCCGTCTTTGCCCAATTGACTTTGTGCAGGAAAGGCAGCAACCGGCAGCACCACAACTATCAATTGGACACAAAGCTGATGAGCTGCCCCCCCCCACACTTTGGCTCCCAAGGCTGGCGCAACCAGAGCTCCCCCGCAACGAAGCACCCCAGCCAGTAAGCCCACCTGACCCAAGAAATGGCCCAGTTCCCCCTGTGAGACGTTCCCACCGGTCAAATATTGGCAGGCCCCCTGTTCGGTATCAAAGGTAATTGGCCGGGACGACCAACTATAGAGGTGGGGGGTAAATGTCAAACATAGATTTTAGCCTGGGACTCCAAATCTAAAGCCAGTTTTATTTGTGTGTAGTGTTTTTAGTGTGACCTTGTTTTTATATACTGACTTTGGCTTGAGCCTGGGACAGTCCTGATTGATAGCCCTCCCCCTTATGATTGATTGGTCGGACTGGAGGACTTTCCCCTTTTTAAAACCCGGACAGAGGGACTGAAGGGGGGAAGGAAATCGGAAGCGTTACGGGGGACGAGGACAGAGGACAAGGGGAAACAAGGACCAGCACGCACCAGGACCAGCACGCACGCGGAGCAGCACGCACGCGGAGCAGCACGCACGAGGAGCAGCACGCACGCGGAGCAGCACGCACGCGGAGCAGCACGCACGAGGAGCAGCACGCACGCGGAGCAGCACGCACGAGGAGCAGCACGCACGCGGAGCAGCACGCACGCGGAGCAGCACGCACGCGGAGCAGCACGCACGAGGAGCAGCACGCACGCGGAGCAGCACGCACGAGGAGCAGCACGCACGCGGAGCAGCACGCACACGGAGCAGCACGCACGAGGAGCAGCACGCACGCGGAGCAGCACGCACGCGGAGCAGCACGCACGAGGAGCAGCACGCACGCGGAGCAGCACGCACGCGGAGCAGCACGCACGAGGAGCAGCACGCCCCAAGGAGAGACCTGCAGAGCCCACATACAACGCCCCGTAAAGCTGAGTATACAGGGACGTGATCAAGCAGCCTCAGTTGGTGTGTGTGCGTGCGCGTGAGACCGGAGCGTGATTGCCCACTCTCTCCGCAGCTGCATTGGCGTGGCGCATCAGGCCCCAGCCCAAGGAGCAGCGGACCCGGCCCAGCGGAGCAGCGGACCCGGCCCAGCGGATCCAGCTCAGGGGAGCACTGTATATAACGCCAGACGAGCTGAGTACTTACAGGGACGTGAACAAGCTGCCCCAGACTCTGTGTGTGTGTGCGTGCGCGTGAGACCGGCGCCTGATTGCTTGCTCTCTCAGCAGCTACCCTGGTGTGGCGCACCAAGCCCCAGTGGAGCAGCAGACCCGGCCCAGCAGAGCGGAGCAGTGCGCCAGGCCCAGCCCGAGCCCCAGCAGAGCGGAGCAGCGCGCGCCAGGCCCAGCCCGAGCCCCAGCAGAGCGGAGCAGCGCGCGCCAGGCCCAGCAGAGAGCGGCCCCAGCAGAGAGCGGCCCCAGCAGAGAGCGGCCCCAGCAGAGAGCGGCCCCCTTAACCTTTTATTTTGACCAGACCTTAAGACCCTTAGTCTTATTTTAACTCTTAATTGGCCATTTTAATTAGCGCCATAGGGCATTTTATAATCATATTTATTAATAAAAGTATCTGAAGTCTAAGCCTGTTTATATTCATTTTTAAACAGTTATTGGTTGTTCCACACCTGACACTAACGCTACTGCTACTGCTACTACTGCTATTACTAAAGCTACTGCTGCTACTGCTACTGCTAATGCTACTGCTACTGCTACTACTGCTATTACTAAAGCTACTGCTGCTACTGCTACTGCTAATGCTACTGCTACTGCTACTACTGCTATTATCAATCAATCAATCAACGTTTATTTATAGAGCGCCTTTCCTACACAAGGCAACGCAAAGCGCCTCACAACCCATATAACATCATGCATAAATCCTCAAACATTAGAATTTAAGTAAACATAAAAGGACAGATTAAGAGCACAAGATATATAAAATCACACAAGTAGTTAAAAACCGTAAAACATTAAAATCACACAAGGGATTACAATCATAAATAATCATAAATAATCATAGTGCATTAAAAAGATTAAAGATAAAAACAAATATAAAATCATTCACTTGTATGCACAGCTAAAAAGAACTGTTTTCAGTTCAGTTTTAAAAACTGCTAGAGTAGACACCTGTCTCACACTCTCGGAAAGACGGTTCCAGACTCTAGCAGCATGAATCTGAAACGCAGCCTCCCCATGTCTAGTTCCGACTCTTGGCACTAACAGAAGTCCAGTCCCTGTGCTCCTCAGAGCCCGAGTTGGTTCATATGGCACCAACATGTCGCGGATGTACCCTGGTGCGAGGCCATGGAGAGACTTGTACACAAGTAAAGCTACTTTAAAGTCTATTCTCTGAGCCACAGGAAGCCAGTGCAGAGACCTGAGGACCGGACTAATGTGGTCGTACTTCCTGGTTCTAGTCAGGACTCGAGCTGCAGCATTTTGGATGTACTATTACTAAAGCTACTTCTGCTACTGCTACTGCTACTACTGCTATTACTAAAGCTACTGCTGCTACTGCTACTGCTACTACTGCTACTACTAATGCTACTGCTACTACTGCTACTACTACTCTTACTGCTACTGCTATTGCTACTACTTCTAATGATGCCACTACTGCTACTGCTCCTGCTGCTACTACTGCTACTAAAGTTAAGTGAGTGTGAAGAAGAGTGTACATTTGTCTTTTCAGTCCGGTGAATAAAACTCACTCTCAAATGGTCACAAATAGTGATAAAATAAAAGTATTTTGCGCACTTGTAATACAAATATACACTGCAAAAAGTGGTGAAAAATATGTCAGAAATTGGCAAAATATAATTAAATTTCAGCACACATCTTAAAACAAGATTGGCCAATGGAAAGCAAAATTATATTGTTTAAAAAATATATTAACAATGTCTCACTTGGAGTGAGAAAATACAGTTCTTAAAAAGATTACCCAATTTTTTTTAAATCTTTTTTTTAACAGTGCATGATTTTTTAAACTTCAAAAGACATTGTTTTTAGTTGGCCACATCCATTAGACTCACTACACAGTCAATCACGGCACCAGAAGTCCTCTCGTATCAATCTCCTCTCCCTTGGTTCCCCCCAAAAATGTGCAAATTGTTCATATGACTTTATCAAAGAAGTCTAATAAATGAGAAACGAGTCTAGATCTGAAACAGGTCTCTCTCCTGAAGTTCCAATTTGCATTTTGAAGGTCATATTACTAAATCAGCAGGACGGGGATTGTCAGGTGCGGCGTTTTCCATGAGATGTAATGGAAAGTAATCGCTGTCTGAGGATGGGAGGGGGGCGGGGCAGGGGGGGTTCCTTTGTTCCGCCGTCTCTCACCCTCAGCTCTGTTTTTTTCTCCCACACGCGATTTTGAGATGGATCTGATTGGACACAAGCATCAATCTAGCCGCCGAGTCAGAGCCAGGTGATGTCACGTTTTTTAGAACCAGTGAAAATGCCTTTGCTTTAGTTCCCACGTGAAGAGTGCGGCCGCTTTATTATTGCTTATACTGTATATATTGTGTATCTGTAGATTAGATTAGACTTTATTTGTCACTATACACATGCATAATGAAATTAGAAGCAACAGAAACACGGACACAGAAATAATGAAACATTAAACATTAAAGTGCACAGTTGCATCTATTGCTCGGGAATTATAAATATAATATAAAATATGTAAAAATTCAGTGCATATAGAATTCAATAGTTTTCAGTCTATTTGTCCTTGCTCTGATGCCCCTGTAACGCATCCTAGAGTGAATCCAGGGTGAGAGCTGTCCTTAATCATGTTCTCTGCTCTTTGTGGTTAGATACACAAAAGTTACTTTGACGTTTCCCATTCAAACCAAAGGCACAGGTACAAGTCCTACAATCTCATTAAAAAAAGCCGCAGAAATCAAATTGATACAGAAAAAGTCACAAAAAGGACCGGTAACGCTTTATAGTAAGGTGTGCTTGTTAAGTATTAATAAGGTATTCATAGACATTAGCAACATGCTTATATATTGCTTATATGTACTTATAAACATATTAATAAGCTGCTCATTTCACTATTCTCTAAATGATGTTGTTCTAGTTATATGCTTTTAAGCATTTAATAAGTAATTAGTAAGATACTTATTAAAGGAGGAATATGTTTATAAATATATGAATAAGCTGCTTATTAAACTATTATCGATACCATGTTAATAGGCCACTAACAATATGCTTATAAAGATATTAATACGCTGCTTATTAATAGGTAATATTGTTAATAGGCCACTAAAAATATGCGTTAATAAACTGCTTATTACACTATTTTGCAGTACCTTAATCTAAAGCGAGGAGCATTTTTGTTAATGCAGAAAAAAACACAACAATGATCTAAGATGTTTTTATTTATTCAATCAGCAACAATTAAAGTCTAAATGAAAAAATATATCAAAGGACCAGACGATGCCCAAAAATAGGCGAGTTCCGCTAATAGGGGTGTGACGATACTTTCTCCCGCGATTCGATTATCGATATGCATTTGTATCAATATCAATTTTGGAAAAAAAAAAAACAAATGTTTTTTTTTTCTCCTTTTTTTTCGTTTTTATTGGTATCAATACTTAATATATGGCTACATTATGCATCTCCATTCTATTTATCATGAAATAAAGAGTATTTTTTTATTTTATTTATGCCATAAATTGGCATATTGTATATTTCTGACCAATATATCAATAATCGTCATATCGTGATAAAATCGTTATTGTAATCTTTATCGTGAGCTTTGTATCGTGTATCGTATCGTGAGGTACCCTTAGGTTCCCACCCCTGTCCGCTAATCTCTCAGGCTCGTGAAGTCAGTTGATTCACTGTTTTGCCAAAGCCAAATTCAAGCAGGTCGGAGCATGAGTGGGGGCATCATGGCTCCTTGAAGTTACTAACAAACTTTTGGCACAAACTTAATTTTGATATATTTTTTTCATTTAGACTGTAATTGTTGCTGTTTGAATAAATAAAAACATCTTAGATCATTGTTGTGGTTTTTTCTGCATTAACAAAAATGCTCCTCGCTTTAGATTAAGGTACTGCAAAATAGTGTAATAAGCAGTTTATTAACGCATATTTTTAGTGGCCTATTGCCACTATTGCCTATTAATAAGCAGCGTATTCATATCTTTATAGGCATATTGTTAGTGGCCTATTAACATGGTATCGATAATAGTTTAATAAGCAGCTTATTCATATATTTATAAACATATTCCTCCTTTAATAAGTATCTTACTAATTACTTATTAAATGCTTAAAAGCATATAACTAGAACAACATCATTTAGAGAATAGTGAAATGAGCAGCTTATTAATATGTTTATAAGTACATATAAGCAATATATAAGCATGTTGCTAATGTCTATTAATACCTTATTAATACTTAACAAGCAAACCTTAATATAAAGCGTTACCAAAGGACCAAGAATGTGAAAAAGTATGAGTTACTTGGAATTACGCTTCCAAAACTAAAATGCTAAATGCTAACTCTGTACTTTATCTTGTGCACTTTCTTAACCTGCCGTCTCTTTGCTCCTGCCCAGAGACTATCAGAGCATAAATATTAAAAAAAAACATGACATACGACAACATTATTTCCCCAACTTTCACTTTTCACTAGCTTCTTTCTGTATTCTCGAGCCACACACGTTTCTTGCCACCCTCCAGCTTTTAAATCGTCCTTTTTCTCAAACATCACACACACACTTCCACACAAGAAGTAACGAACCCCTGTGCCACGTCTGAATCTCTTCTTTTGCTGTTTTTTTACTGCTTACCGGATGGCTGCGTTTTACACCGCTCCACATCTTCGCAGACGGCTACAATGCTTATGAAGGCCAGTAAAAAGGAATCACCCAGAAAGCCCTAATAAAACTCTTTGCATTCCATTTGATGCATCCATTTGTGTAAAATATCAAGAGTCCATCGGCTGATTAAATCCATTATTTCAACTGGCATGGGGCCCCCCTGTCCGTCAACAAACCTCTATAAAGCTAGACTAGCGCATTCAAAGGCACCGTGCATTGGAAAACATTGGCTTTTGGTTTTTTTGGGTTCTTCAAGTTGCCTGAACATTGCAGCACTTGCAAAATGGGTCAAGTGACGCCCAAAATGATGCAAAACAGGACAAAGAATCTGTAATTAGTTTTAACACACGCTCACATTTTGCGGTTATGAAAACACGAGACGGATGCGAAAGGAGATGGCTAACCTGCGTTTCCATACACTGCAAAAAAAAATGATAAAATATGAGGTTGTAATTGCTTGCATTGAGCGTTTTGTGCCATATTTTAAAAACTAGATTCGGTAATGGGACAAGGCCATTTCGTCTTATTTCCTGAACTTAATTTTCTCATTCAAAGTGAGACATTTCTTGTATTTTTTTTAAAACAAGACCATTTTGATTTGTCCCGTTGGAAAATCTTGTTTTAACGTAGTCAGTATGTGCTCAATTTTAAACCTTTTTTGGCCAAATTTGAGCATTTTTTGACATTTTTTTGATTGAATGTAAGAATAGAAATGAGATAGAATTTAGTCCAGACCCGAGCTGCCATTTTGATTGAAACAGAAATTCCAATTTAACTAGTTCCTTACTCAAGTTTTCCATCAAAAAATGTTTGGTTGAGTTTTTATAGTGACTCACAGGGATTTTCACATCAACACACAATAAAACATGGTCGCTAATAACATGTAGTAAGAAGGCCTTTTTCACAAATAAAAAAAACATATGATCAGACATAAAGTTAGGTCACCCAGCTTTAACTTTTTTTTGTACACACACACACACCGTACACACACATACACCGTACACACACATACACACACATACACATCACCTTCTATCACAAAATAGGGTGTATGCATAACTTTTGTTGTTGTTCTGTGACATAACCAACATTGTTTAGCCACACACACACAACACATATACATACACACACACACACACACACACACACACACACACACACACACACATCACCCTCGATCACAAGATGGAGCCTATGCATAACTTTTTTTTGTTGCAGTGTGACAAAACCAACCACACCATTTACCCCTGTCAATCCAACCAACACATGCCCTCCTCTCTCTCTCTCTACAGTGGCCACCCATCACACACACATCACACACACACACACACATCAGACACACATCACCCTCTATTACAAGATGGAGCCTATGCATAACTTTTTTTTTTGTAGGGTGACATCATGGATGTATTATATTAACTGGATAGGGTATTACTAGCTTGTAGCTGAATAACTCACGTGCTCAGGGGATTCTCGCGGTACTGCAGACTGAACCAGACTGAACCAGACTAAATTCACGTGGGCTACCCAGAAATTTTCCCCATAGGACTCAATGCAAATTAAAACAGCTCGACCTCAGCTGAAAGAGAACCTACAGCTTTAATAAAGATCGTATTTTGTGGGGATTTTAGTGTCCCTTGTCATCCTGAACTTTTTTTCTTCTTAAATCCTTCGGTTTTGTTTAAATCCACACTTTAGTGCCACAAACTCTGCTCCTCTGGCTCTGGCTCTAACTCCCGCTCTGATGAACTGCTCTGATTGGTCAGAGCGCGGCCGAGCCCCTCTGTGCAAGTGCGTGAGACCCTCTGTGCACGTGCGTGAGACCCGGTGTGAGACCCACACACGCGTGTTTGGCGCAATGCATCATGGGAGATCATCCACTGCACAGAACCGGGAGGACCAGACGATGCCCAAATACAGGAGAGTTTCCCATAGATCTTTGCGAGTTTCAGGCAACTTCCGCTAATCTTTCAGCCCCCATGCCGTCACAAAGCGCCACTGAGCACAAACCATTCATTTGAATAGGGCGCCATCTTGGATCGCCGGGGCTTGGGTGACATAACCAACCACACCATTTACCCTCGTCAACCCAACACACATATGCCTGCCTCTCTCTCTCTCTCTACAGTGGCCACCCATCACACACACACATCAGACACACATCACCCTCTATCACAAGATGGAGTCTATGCATAATTCCCACTATTTACATCAAAGCAATAAGCAGCACCCCGCGTCAAAAACTGTCACCGCCACCGCTTATCCCATAGGCTCCGAAACGCAAGCAACCGTGCCACTCTTGGCTCTGATTCACGTCCCCTGTCGCCCAAATGACACATCCACACTTACACAGGCTTCCAGGACTCTGCAGCTCCCAAATGGTGCCTTCTGTTCTCGTGTCTGGCCATCTATGAAAAGATCCACTAACAACAAGCGGCTCTTTAATAGAAACGGCGCCTAATGCAACAGTATAGCTTTTGTCTCGGCGTGTATGAAAGTGAGGCGGGGTTATGTCATCGGGAAAAGGCTTCGAAATGAGGTGATTTTTGGGTCTTTTTTGAGGGAAGGGATGGATCTCTAAACGGTGACGAGCCCCGGACACTAAAATGGAGGAGCAGTGGAGGGTCGGTTGCATTTTTATAAGCACAATTTGCATATTGGATTCAAAGCCACTGAGGGTGAAAAAGGCATTTAAAAAAGAAACGTTTTCTTTCAGACTAAAACTCCCAGAGCAGTGTGTTTGACGGCTTTTCGTTATGCAAGCGTGATTACACAGCGTATACACCTTTTTGGTCTCTATATGTTGTTTATTTGTCATTATTCTTTCTCAGTACTTCTATCTTTACACACAGTTAACTTTCTAGCCGTTAGCATTAGCCTGATTTTTCACCACCTGTTATACAAACGTTATAAAATACTAACATTTAATAATATGGTGGTGAACAAAACAAAAGTGTTGCGGGAGAGAATTCTCAAAATTTGATTGGTTTTAATGGGAGCAGTCAAAACGACGGCTCTGGGAGTTTTAGTCAAACAATGTCTTCAAGCTGAAGGGTCCTGGACTGGTCCTGGTTCTGCTTCTGGTTCTAGTACAGTGAGTGCTGATTACCATAGCAACCATAGCAACACGCTGTTTCCTGTTAGCATTTGGTAGCATTAGCTTTTCAACACACTGTTTTTGCTTCAAGTTATTTTAGCAAGTTTTATCAATATTGACTAAATTTTAAAAAAATAAACCATATATTACATAATTTTAAAATTTTTGGCAAAAACTAAACACTTTTTTCTGCTCGCAATATCACTGAAGTTTTGTTGCAGCAGATCGTTAATTTGTCTCTATTATAATTCAAGATTTCTTCCCCATTTTCTGTAATCAACCCTTTCCCGCTGGAGCCCCCAAATTGCGTTAGAACTAATGGAAGTTTTGATCCCTCTCTCTGCAAATGCATTTAAAAGACTTATGGCAAACTTACTTCAACACAAATTACAACCATTAAAAGTCAATGCAGAACTTGGATTGCCTTTTTTTTGTGTTTTTTTTTAAATGCAAACTCAACAGGTTTAATTGTATTTGCATATGGAGTGACACATGAACTTGCATTGCATCCTGTCACCACGTCGACAGGGATAAAAGTCATAACAATAATCGCTAACATAACCTCAAGACACAACTCAAAACACCACATTGCTGCAGTAAAGACATAATATAGAAAAAAACATAATGCAGGTCACTTTGAAGTTCTCGACGTCACACCCATGTCTTTGCTTTGTGTCTGCTTTTTAGCCAAGGGACATCTTAGAAAATCACCATTGACTGGGTTTTATTGATTCAAATTCGCTCTGTTTTGCCTCCAAGAGAAACATACTGTATTTTAGCTGATTGCCCACTCATAATACTTCTAGACGCTCAATACTTTTCCATTTCTATACCGGACTTTTGTCACGATTGCCCTTTTGAAAACTGCACTCAAAACGGTTCAAAAACTTGTCATTTTTTTGTATTTTTATTTGAATCAATACTAAAACATTTGCGTCATGAAAAGGCTGGAATCCGCACATCGTATGAACCTGACATCGGTTTTATTTGATGACAATAATAACATAGTTTGGTCATTATAGTGCAATAAGTGCAAAGCAATCGGAACAACTGAAAAATTGATAAGGGATAGAGATTTCTGTGAATGTTGGTATAAAAATAGGTGTTACATTGATTAAAATATAAGACAACATAACAATACTTTTTTTTTTTTCTCCGAATTTTGATCTAATAACAACTTTACATATTAAGAATGAATACCCATATTCATTTTTAATATAATCAACTCCTTTTATGAGAGCTCCATGAAGGCTATCCCGCCTTCGGATTCCAAAAGTGCAGAAAGCATACAAAGACACTTCTTAATAATCTTCTTCAAACGTCTTTTTTCAACATTTGGGGGTGTGCCACTTCCAGAAAAAGCCACTTTTACAATGCAGAGCTACAGGAAATGAAACAACAAACGTAAGCCGTATTTTCTCCAGACGTTGATGACGTGTGATGACACAGGTAATACTGAATCAAAAGTTTTGAAAAGACATGGCAGATTATATCAATAAATATTTACTTACAGATAACAGCAGAAAATAGTCCCTAGACAGTTCTCGTGATCTGCTGTACAGTGTTTTTGTCCAGAAATGGTTTTATTATAAACATTTTCTCTTTTTTCAGATTCTCACAATATATCTTATGTATGGTTACACTCCTGAAAACGAAGTCGAGAAAGATTTTGACCTGTACACTTTTGTTATTTGATCCCTCGTCATAGAAAAATAGATTTTGCTTCAGAGTTCTCCATCCATGTCTGTTTCAAGAAAGCTGTATCCATTCCTGTAATGTCACGTTTCGGAAATAAGAAATAATATTGTTCGGCACACCCCACGTTTTTAAACTCCATTTGTTTCTTATGTTTGCAATGCGCCAAGGCACCCTTTTGTTAGGTCTGAGCCACTCCGCTGCAGGGAGAGATAAAATGCTGTGTTACTTTAATGATTCCGTTGCTCAGAACTGGCTGAAAGTGGTCTGTTTCTCCAGGACTTCCAGGTAATCGGGCTCAGACTGCAGCTTTGCTTTTAGCTCCAAATACTCGTTCCTATTGGGCTCAACATAGACAGTACTGGGCGCCGTGCCGTAGAGTACCGTCTCTCTTATCCTGTCCGGGTGCAGAAACTGGCGTCTGACATCGAAGTTGGGGTTGTATGTGTACGAGACCGGCCCCGTGTACTTGTACTCTAAGTTAGCCCCCGGTGGCAATGAGTTGATGGATTGGCAGGGGGATTGCTTGTCCGACTCCAGGATGCCTCTGAAGAAGTGGTCGGCATCCGGGACGGGGGAGGGGTTGTCCCGCGGTTCGATAGTGCTGACGCTGTACGCAGGGCTCCTCATGGTACTGCTCTCCCGGTCCTCCTCAGGGGTACTCCGATAAGTCACTTTGAGCTCGTGCAGGTCCCTATAGTCCTCCACAGTGTTCCCCTCTCGTGATCTATAAATGGGATTTTTACACATGTGGCCCATCGGATGAGGGATGTACTCGTAGACGTGGCCGGCGGGAGCTTTGACTTTGTTTCCGGATCGGTTGCTATAGAGACTGTACTGCAAGTTAAAAGAGCTCACGTCAGAGTTGTTGGTGCTAGTGCGATCGCTTTGGGACTTTTTGCGACGTTTCATGACCACTACGAAAAGTCCGGCAGCTACAAAAACGGACATGATGAAAACTAGCAAGAGGCTGAGAATGAGGACGGAGAGAGGGACGGTGCTACTCGGGGACGTGATTTTTGGTGGAGTTTCTGTTGTGACAACGTGGTCATCCATCGGTTCTTCCGTCGGCAGAGTCGGAGAGACGTACGAGTCCGCATAGTCCGGGCAGAGCTGGTCCGATTCGATAGAACGCAACTCGATTCCTGCGTGGCGTTTGGGGCTTTCGCATATAACCTCGTTGACCATAGTGCCCGCGTTTAGCTGCTCAAGCCATATCTTCATCCCGACAATATCGCAAGAGCATTCCCACGGGTTTTCAAACAGATCAATTTGCAGCAGGACCTTGAGCTGGTCCAAAACTCCACTCACGGGCAAGTTTTGGAAGTTGTTGTTGCGTAGATTGAGCCTGGACAGGGACAGGCTGGAGAATATACCCACGGGTAACGTCTTGAGTAGGTTGTTGTTCAAAAAGAGCAGCTGCAGATTGGGGAGGTACCGGAACGTAGCGGCCTCCACCTCTCGGATTTTGTTGTACTCTAAATAAAGGTACTGGAGATTTTGCAAACCATAGAACATTTCTCCAGTAAGCCTGTCCATGAGATTACCGTTCAAATACAGCCTACGCAGGTTGATTAAATCCCCAAAAGCCCTGTCGTGGATCACTGTTATCCTGTTGTTTCCCAGGTGGAGCAAATCCAATCCAGTGGCTTCGATAAAATCAGATCTCCGCACCACCGGGATGTAATTTCCAGTGAGATACATTTTTTTTGGATTGTATGGCTTGGGTTTGAGATCAGAAATGCTCTCAATCTTCCTCTCTTGGCAGTTGACATTTAGACCAATTTCAGATATCTGTAGATTACATGTGCAGTCGGTGGGACAGTCCAAAGGCACGGGAGATTTGGTTTGAAAAGCAATAATTGGGCCGTAATTGTAAGGGTTACCTCCGGAAATCCTCGACGTGGGCTTGGTTTTAGTTCTGTTAAATTGCCTGGTGCCCCGGGTGGGCTTGGAGGATGACCTCAATACCGCTGAGGAGGTGGCGGATGTGGTGGCGGATGAAGGGGTGGTCTGGTAGTACCCACTGGTGCTGCTAGGGGGCGCAGGTCTGACCGTGTCTTCCGTGGGCCGACGCGGACACAGCTCTTGCTTAGACACCTCGTCCAAGTCCCGGCCATGCAATCTGAACGGGGTCTCACACACCACCTCCCCCACCAGGGCTGTGTACGCAATGCTTTCCAACCAGTTTTTAAGCGCGACCAATTCACAAGAGCAGTTCCAAGGGTTTTCTTCAAGCTGTAATTCCACCACTTTGTCCATGTGCTCCAACAATCCCACGTAGGGGAAGACCTTTAGCCTGTTCCCTCTCAAATCTAGATGCGTCAATGGCACATTCCGGAATATATTAGAGGGAAGGGCGGAGAGCAGGTTGTCATTTAAAATCATGACAGTGAGTTGATGGAGTCTGCTCAGTGCATTAGAGTCAATGTTAGTGACGTAATTATAGTCAATCTGGAGATATTCCAAGCTCTCCAACCCGGCAAAAGTGTCATCCCGGATAATCTCGATCTTGTTATTGTTCAGGTGCAATCGTTTTAATCCCTGGAGTCCATTGAAGGCTCCGGACTCGATCTCGGATATGTCGTTGTTCCCCAGGTGCAAGATGGTCACCCCCGTGTAGTTGATGAAGTCATTGACGGAGAGTTTCTTGAGTAGGTTCCCCGTGAGGAGGAGGTGGTACATGGAGTACTGGACCGGGCTGATTTCCGTGAGGCGGATTATGCCCCGGTTCTCGCAGCTCACGGTCAGGACGCCTTCCTTCTCCTCGCATGTGCACAGGTTGCGACAGATCTCCCCGTAATCGTCATACATCTCGATCAGCCTCAGAGATGATGCAATCACAAGGAGTATTTTGAGGATCCAGATATGCATTTTGTCCTGGGAGAGGGTGCCCCAGCTCTCACTCAAGCGCAGGAATGGGGGGTCATCTAGAAGGGAGGGAGAAGAGAGAGGAGTTTGCTTTTTTTTTGCTTCTTTTTTGTCATATAGAAAACACATACACAGCCACAATGAAAAGACAGTAGTAGCAGACAAGTTGGCCTATTAACGCCGCGCTAATGATGCAGATGTGTAATGTCTCCGTCCCTTATTTTCCTCCCCCCCCTCTTGGCTTTGACGTGTAAATAAACAAGGCTGAATTTTTAATAGCTGCATACTTTAATTGATTATATCTCCTGGATTGCTACTGCGCATTTCTGATAGCTTCGTCTGAATTCCAATCCATCTGAGGAAGGAGGAGAAAAAAAAAAAAGAACTATTCATCATGTGCCGACCCAGAGATCAGCCTAATGCATTCCCCTGAGACTGAATTTGAAATGACAACACGTTTAAATCATGCATGATGCGAGGGTAACCTTGCTTATGATACAGCATTAATAATAAAAACATGATTTCAGCTTTTGGCAAAAACATTTTTTGACATTGACAGATTCGTCCCATGTCTGTATGTTCAGCCTGCCTTGTCTGATTATGTAAATACGGAAACACATATGTATATATATAAATACACATGTTAGAATTCTTTAGACTATATTTGTTCTCTCTCTCTCTTTCAATGCAACAGTCACAGCCCACATAAGCACCCAGCCAAGGCAGAAAAACCCGTATTTACATTCTGCTCCTTGCACATCGCGGTGATAATACTTCTAAAACAGTGGTATGTTGTTAAGCCAACTGCTATGGAGAAGGTTACAGATCCCCTTCTGTCGTGCCCAGGCGTCACGCACACACAGAGGCGCACACACACAGAAGAGACGCACTCCTTAAAAAAAAAAAAGAAAAAGAGAAAAGAGAGAGCTCTCCCAGTTCCCCTCAAATCTCTCCGTGTTATTACGCATTGGCCAGGAGGGGTAAATAAGCAACGTTATCTATATGCTTCTCTGTGGGAATACTGTGATAAGAGAGTGGTTTTGCAGCTCTATGCATGAGAGGGGGACTGAATATATTGCCACGGAATCCGCATTAAGTTCATCTATGCAACACACCGCGGACACATCGCGTCTGTATAAGAGGCAACATCTTCATCAGATAAATAATAAATATATAAATGTAACAGAAAAGAGACAGAAGTGAGGAGCCCAAATGAATAGGCGTTCTTACCGTGCGCTTGTCCTCAAATACATCCCGGTGTTGAAAAAAAAAAAAAAAAGCCTTCGCCCTTTCTCTGGCTCCATAGAATCTCCAACGCGAAAAGGCTAAACGGTAGAACACCCCTCAAACTCAAGTCTCCTCGGTCCATACAGCTCGGAACAGGGCACGCATGCAGTTTTTTTTTTCTTTTTTTTTTTACCAGTAACGCGACGGCTCCTGCGTGCGTCTTCTCCCTGGCGTCTTCATCAGGGCAAGCGCGTTGGTGCTGGTGGTGGGGAAGGAGAAGGAGAAGGAGAGAAGGCAGCAGCAGGCGAAACCCAAAGTTCTGACATGTCAAAACGGGGTGGCAAAACTGACACGGTAATCCACACACGATCTCTTTGCCGCATGCATTTTGGATTGGGAGCTCTGACTTTCAACGGGAGGAGAGAGATGCCCCTGGTGCGTCTCTACACGGCAGTTCATACGAGCACAAATGTTCACCACCAAAAAGCCATTTCAACTGGCTCCTCGCTCAAACTTGCGACATTTTTTTCCTTCCCCAGCAGCAACACAGAAAAAAAGAAAGAAAGCCGAAAGCAGCACACGGTATCCTGGGTGTGTAATCTTCCAGCGTTTTCAACTAGTGGAACTTGATCTCCTTTTTGGTGCAAGCAGGCGCATCCCCTACAGCCATTATGAAACAATCAACATAAGAATTGCAATATAAATCAGGAGGAAAAGCGCATAAATCCCTCAATCCCTCCACTGTCACGACGAGGAAATGAAAAGCAATTGAATGCGTGCAATAGTCTTTAAGGGGGTATGGTAATGTGGGGAAGGGAGGGAGAAGTGAGGGAGGAAAGCGAAGGAGGGAGAGGGGACAGGATTGGCCTATAGGGGGCAGCACAGTTATGGAAATAGCAGCGTGTGTCCTTCATAGATTTTATTTTATTTATTTTTTGCTTCTTCCCAGGCGTTTTTGATGTGACACTGGTGAACTATAGGGGTGAATTTCTCTTTTATTCTGAAATGGGAAAATAATATATTGCATGACAGCCCTAGAAAATCCTTTGAATTCATACGGGAGGCTACACTATGTAATTTCACAATCAGACTGTGTTATGCCTCAGTTGAGTGCTGTAGCAAATGTGTTTTGTAAAGTTGAAAGTATAGAGTAAATGTAATGCGTTCAATTACATACAATTGCCAGAACAACTTATTAGTCTAATCTTTTGCAGGACCCCCGTGTTGTACACAATGCTCACATGGATGCTACTAAATCAACACAATTAGACAAAAGTAAGAAATCAAAACGATTCATTTTGCCTTGAGATAAAATGATGTTATTTTTGTGTGGATCAAATGAAAGACAAGTTGCTGCAAGGTGTTATCTAACTTGTCATTGAAAAGAACTACAGAAAAACAACTGTAAAAATGTGATTAAAGAACTGTTTGAATTTTTTTTTTTTTTTTAAATTCAGCACCACGGACAGCGATTTTGCAGGAAATTAAGGTTTTTTGCAACTTTCAATGTTTTATCACACACTGGAAATATTAGTTAAACGGTGCAATGATTAATGCACTTGTCTTCCTGCTCTTTATTTAGAAAATTAAGCATTTTCTGGAATATGAAGTTTCTGTGTATTTGAGGATTTTTTTACTTCCGGGTGCATCATCAAGAAAAAATGTCCTTCCAATTGTCCATCCTTCCGTGGTCGTCAAATTAGACCAGAGAGTTTTGTTATGGCCGAGTATTGCAGAGTGCATACAAAAGTCTACTCAAAGTGCTAACAAAAAAAATCAAAATAAATTACAGTTCCTTAAAAAAGAAAAAAGATACAATCGTTCAGTTGTACGCACAGATAAACAGAACAAATCTGTCTCATTTTAGGGAAGACTGTTCCACATTTTAGCTGCATTTATCTGAAATTCTCCCTATGTCTCTTCTTGACTCTAGGCCCCAGCAGGAGGCCAGTCCCTGTGCTCCTCAGAGTCCCAGCAGGAGGCCAGTCCCTGTGCTCCTCAGAGTCCCAGCAGGAGGCCAGTCCCTGTGCTCCTCAGAGTCCCAGCAGGAGGCCAGTCCCTGTGCTCCTCAGAGTCCCAGCAGGAGGCCAGTCCCTGTGCTCCTCAGAGTCCCAGCAGGAGGCCAGTCCCTGTGCTCCTCAGAGTCCCAGCAGGAGGCCAGTCCCTGTGCTCCTCAGAGTCCCAGCAGGAGGCCAGTCCCTGTGCTCCTCAGAGTCCCAGCAGGAGGCCAGTCCCTGTGCTCCTCAGAGTCCCAGCAGGAGGCCAGTCCCTGCGCTCCTCAGAGTCCTAGTTGCTTCATATGGCTCTAACATGTCATGTACTGTGCTCATTTTTTAATACGCTGGAAGACTGCAGCGAGTCCAAAGTGTCTCTGAAACAGTTGTTTTGTGTTTTACAAGTGTTATTTTTCTTGCTTTTTTCTGCCTGAGATGTTGCTGCAGTAAAGTGTTCATGGTTTTACACTGGTCCAGACCAGAGCAGAGAGGATTCATGGTCTGAGACAAGAGGATCAGCTGAAAATCCACCGGAGGAATGCTAACTTTTTGAACAATGCTAACAAAGCATTTAGCATTTTACTTTGGACCAGAGCAGAGAAAATTGTCCGAACCAAGCGGCTCCACCTCTGCTGCTGTGACCTGAAGAGATGTTGCTTATTATTATTATCACTACTATTGTTAGCTTTTTAGAATAATCCATGTCTTTGTTTTGTTTGTTTGTATGGATGTGGTTTTGCTGTTATTTCTCCTTCAGGGATCAATGAAGTATCTATTTATCTTTCATCTCTACTTTCCTCTTTCAAAGACAACATCCACGACTTCTTAAGGTGAATCTATTCTCTCACATCGTGTTGAAATACTTGAAATGCAAGTTGTGAAATACAGTAGATCATAAATAACCTCGTTGTTATATAGCCGATTTACCAGAAAGAAGAAATACATTTACAGCAGGATTAGCCTTAAGCTCATCTCACACAAAATACCGCGGCCTTGCTAATGCCCCTGCGAGAGCTTTGTGTGTATTTCATATTTTGCAGAGATTATTTGACCTCTTTTATTGAAGCTGCCTGGCCCCCTTCTTTTTTGCAACTTTTAGACGCACACAGCTAAATCCCCGACAGAAAATCGAATTAAATCTTAGCATATGGCCACGGCACCATGTCCAACGAGATTTTGGTCTAAGGAATTGTGTCGCAATAAGTTCTGATCCCCTGTTTAGCATGCAACGGGCGGACAATAGCGAGATGTAGCATGCGCGGCGACTTTACCCAAATTAGCGGAGGAGATCCTTTGAGTTTTCCTAAAGTTTATGTAATCGTATTAAGTCGGTCCAGTGGGAATGGATTTATCTCGAACACGAGGGAAAGGCTTTTTTTTTCTTCTCCTCTTTAAGTCGTAGCTTCGTCTTCCACAAACAGGATCCAGGAAGTACAAGTAGCGGGTGTTCTGGAAACCTCTGAGCTATGTTTTGTTCGTCGTTGGTTAAAGCATATTGATTTAAAGATATAGTTTATTGGTCCCACGGTGGGGAAATGTCAGTGTTGCATCAGCAGTTACCGAGCAGTAGGAATAAGGAGCACACAGCACAAGATAAATGAGAAAAAATGGAAAAACTCACTTTTGCATAACAAAGTAAAAGTATTGTATAAAAGCAAGTATAAAATGTCTAGCTTTAGCATAAAAAAGAATCAAGTGTAAAATCTGTAGCTTTAGCGACAG